TATATATACATGCGCTCGTTGTCGTCGTTCTCGTTTTGTTGTTTTTTTTTTTTTTTTTTTTTTTTAATTTTCGTAGTTCATACATTTTATTTTTTTTACAGTAAAAAAGTTTAATTTTTACCAATTTTTAATAACCCTGCTATAATTTCCAAGAAAAAGCATGATTTATCGTTTAAAACTTCGTAAAAAAATCATATCGAATCGAAATTATTTATTTGAAACGTCCCTATGCTTTGGCGCCTTTTTTTGGAGCAGCAGAGCAGCTTCTCCCTCCCCTCCTCTCGAACGCACGGTAAGCGCAGTCTGCTCCTGATCGAAAACGCGCGCGCGAGGTTATGCGGAGCTGTCAAAGTGTCAACGTTATCATTGCTGCCATAAATTGTTGACAGGCTGCTTGTCGTCGGCCCCCATACGATGGAAATTGTCGACCTGATATCCATACCTAGAGTCGATCAGGTCGTGCTGACTGACAAGACCAAGGAGGAGTCGAATAACAGCCGGATCGAGGGAACATTGTGCATCAGTGGCCATCACCTTATACTCTCTGACAGGCAGAAAAATAATCAGCAAGAGCTATGGGTGATTATTTACGATTTTTTTTTTCGTTCTCCAGCTTTTTAAAATATTTCTAGTAGTTGTGTTTCATTGCAACTGCTGCTGCTGTTAATTGTTGTGTATACTTACGTTGTATGTATGTATTGCACACTCTGTCCATTGATTTTTTTTATCTAACGTCACTTGGTTTTCAATTTAGCCATCTGTTCGATTGTTCCTACAAATTTGTCCTTGAATGCATGTACTGTAGAAATACTCTGTTCAATACACTTTAACAAATCAGTAAATTTTATTGTAAATTGTTTCAATTGTATACGTTTATATATTAATTACCTCTATCTTGCAGCTCCTCTACCGCAATATCGACGTTATAGAGAGAAAAATAAACAACCAAATTCCTGGAGGTAGCATTATTTTAAAATGTAAAGACTTTCACATCTACCAGCTAGATTTTGGATCCACAAGTGACTTAACAAAAGTGGCACAAACTATAGAAAAATTGACATGTTTAGGTAAAAAATTTACAATTGTAATAGTAGAATAGTCATTTACGTACTATTACTCAAAATAATGAACTTTTTTCAGAACAAACAATGCAATATCCCTTTTTCTATAGGTCACAGTCAAAAGTACAAATAGAAGATGGCTGGACTGCATTCCTGCCACTTTCCGAATGGTCTAGATTATTAGCTATCCACGGCGACGAATGGCGCATTAGTCATATAAATAAAGACTATAAAGTTTGTAGTTCTTATTCAGCTGAAGTTATAGTACCTAAGCACATAGAAGACGAAATAATAGTCTCTTCAGCTAACTTTAGAGATAGCGGAAGGTTTCCTGTGCTTTGCTACAGGCACGAAGGAGGGGTAGGTTAACTATTATCAAATTCAATAAAATAAATATTCATTAATTATGCTGTTTATTAGAATGAAACGTTTAATGTAATTTTTAGGGTATTCTTATTAGAAGTAGCCAACCAATGTGCGGCCCAACTGGAAAAAGATGCAAGGGCGATGAAATGCTGATAAATTCGTATCTAAGGCCTGGAAAAAGAGGGTAATCTATGTTCATTTTCTTAACAACGTTATACAATGTTTACTGCAACTTTTTTCTCAATTTCCAACTTGTTTCACAGAGTGATTGTAGATACTCGAAGTCTCACACAAGCACAGAACACTAGAACCAAAGGCGGGGGTACAGAAATAGATTCTGCATATCCACAATGGCTTAAATCACACAAAACGATAGCTCGTTCTGGAGAGTTGTCTGAAAGTTTATCGAAATTAATAGAAGCGTGCAATGATGCAAACTGTTCTACCTCGCAATGGTTATCCAAGCTAGAAAGTAGTAAGTGGCTCACAGCTGTCCAAGATGCCATGAATGCAGCCTGCGTAACCGCACAGTGTCTCGAACAGGAGCAAACTGCCGTCTTGGTGCATGGTAAAGAAAGCCCTGGTTACTTGTTTATTAATGCAATGATGCGAAATTGTAAATCTAATTGTTTTTTCAGGTGGTAGTGGACGAGATACCACTCTAATAGTAACGAGTTTGGTGCAGACAATTTTAAACCCAGACTGCCGGACCGTCCGAGGTTTACAAGCTTTAATAGAGCGCGAATGGCTGCAAGCCGGCCACCCATTCTACACACGAACTCGCCACGCAGCCTATTATTACGGTCAAAATTCAACAGACGCCCCCACGTTTTTACTATTTTTGGACTGCCTTTATCAATTAAATTTTCAATTTCAATTGAGCTTTGAGTACACGACTCAATTACTAGTCGAAATTTTTAGGAATGTCTACTCATCAAACTATGGAACGTTCTTAGGTAGTTTTTTCAAAATTGTTCAGTCATTTTTTCGAAGCCACTATTTATTGATAATTTATTCCAAAAGTCGTAATTATTTTACACAGGTGACTCGGAGTCGGAACGAAGCCGACTGAAGCTAGCAGAGCGAACGGCCAGCTTATGGTCGTACCTGAACCAACCAGACGTCCTCGAAAAGTACATTAATCCCCTGTACGAGCCTAATGCTGGTATAATCTGGCCAAGCGTCGCTCCAATAAGCATCGAATTATGGCGTGAGCTATATCTGGGGCATACGAACGCTGCACCTTGGGATGGTCTCCTGAATTGTGCAAAAGAACTTAAAGAACACCATCAAAAAGTGAAACGAAGCGCTCAAGAGTTGCATCAGCAGATCAGACAAGTGCTCAAGGAGACTGGTTTACTGTCTCAATCAATGCCTGATGGTAACAGTGAAGCACCGGCTTGTGTTAGCGTAGATACTAGTGAGCAGCAAGCACAGGCTCGAGAGGAGGCTCGCCGTGCTCTAGCTCAGCTTGATCTTGAACAGAGTATCTGATACCAAAACTTTAGCTCTGAGCTTTCGCCAAGCTGGGTCTTTTGTTAAATAAGGATTCCAGAAGAGTGATAATTCGAAGATTATGGATGGTAAGAAAATTGGAGTTAGAATTCTCAATGATGAACTTACTGTGGTGGTAAGAACACCTGAAAATCAGAGACAGGTGTGGTTTACTATTTTTTGAGCTGTGAATTTTGAGTGCAGTAATGAAGTAATCATGCCATTAGATACTTTTTTGTATTATTTATAATTTCGAGAGGTGCATTATTTCATATGCTTTTTATGAGATTTGAAATTATCTTTAAAATTTTGCTGTAATGAATTTAACTAATAACTTAATTTATATACACATGTATTATCAGTTTCGTGTTGATTTTAAGTAAGTATTTAGAAATTATGTGTCTAGATTTCTTAAGAGGTTAAAAAAAGTCAATTATTTAGTTACACTATTACAACAAAAAACGATTTTAAAAATCGATCTACTTAAAAATCATAAAAGTTAAATTACTCACACGAAACCGTTTAGCTTCTCCCTTAGGAGCTAACACTTTTTTACAGTTGATATTTTGCGCAGCACTGTGATTCAAGTCATAATTTTTTTTACATTTTAAGCTCAGCTGTGAAAAAAAATTGATTCGTTGTACATGATTTTGTAAAGAATTATTTGTAATTATTTTTTAGTTGTAATGTGATGAAAAAATTGATTGGGAACTCAACGATACCGAGAATACTTGAAAATATTTAACACATCGAGGGTTTTGCAAAGCTTTTTATTTCTTTCACTAAAGAGTCAATTTAACATTCATTTGGCGCTAGTGGTATCGTTGACTTGCCAATACATTTTGCGTTTTAAACTCACACCCTTTTTGGATAAAGAAGATTTCAAATCCATTAGCTATCAGTTTTTTAAAAATTTTTCTGTGTAATTATGATTGAAACTCCAAAGACTTATACAAGCTATTCATGGAAATGGAAAAAGTATTCATCTTAATTATACATAAACAATACTTTTCGCGAGTTTATATTTTTAACATTACCGATTGATGTTGACAAATTCAAGAAAAAATAGTAAATATATATTGCCTTGGTGTGAATATATTTTTATTGATAAAATGTACAATTAAATCAACTTCGAACTATTTACACATATAAATACGTATTTTCTTTGTAAGACGTTTGATGTATTATTTTTTTATTTCAACAGAGTTTTGAAGAAACTTATTGTAAATTATATGAATAATGTTAACCATTTTGGCGGCTACACCTCTGCCCAGCAGTCACGTACCGACCGCACTCCGCACTAGGGTCCCTCGGAACCCTAATAACAAATATACCTGTAACTATCGTAACTTGAGGTATAAAAGTTTTATTTTGTGCAACTTACTCCTGCTCCCTACATCATTATCTATTCATTAACTTTTTAAAATTCAATTTTTTTCTCTTAAATCGTTTAAATTTTAGAGCGTGATAAAAGAAGTACGTTTCAAGTATTAAACAAAATAACGGCACACACCGAATTGTAATTAATAATGATATACTTTATTATAAAATAACAGATAAATATATACTATTCTTCTTTAGAAAATATCTGTGGTGCGTTTCAATAATGTTGCACAAAAAGAAAAATAATCGTGTCAATCGTGTTTTTGCGCAACTAACGTTGACTCTTACATTGTAAAGGCCATGCATAAAATCGTGGTCCCAAGTATGAATCCTCCAGGTAGCTATCATTAGAATGGTATAAAAATGGTATACAAGGTTTGGACTACGGTTTTCATGAACAATGAATTTCTGAATTTCTCATTGCTAGAAAATTTTCAAACGATCTCAAAAATTTTTCTCATCAATCAACATTCGATTAACAATCCATACGCAAGTCATTACGGTTTATTTTAAGCGCACACAAGCATACCTAAACCCATACCCAGATGAAATATCCATTTCTCAAGATGATAGAGCTCAATTATAGGGGAAAAAAAACAAAGCTATCATCAAACAAATCTCTAACTGCTCACGTGAGAACGAAGCGTACACCCAAACCGTAGAGAAGCGAACAAAAGAATCAACGAGCTCTGCATCAACTCAAGAGAGAAAAACAGCCTTGCAGGTATAAGGCTGGTGAAAGAGAGGACCGTTACCGTTATTCGAGGGAACGCTCGATGAAAAAGGACGCTGGAGCGAAGGAGCCCAACAACGAGAAGACATGTAGCCGCTATACTTATACAGGACAGAGGAAACTGTATAATATAAGGGCGAGAAGGAGAGAAGAAGAAGAAAGAAAGATACGAGTGTATAAATGAAGCAGAGAAATGGTGGTTGGTAGTAATAATAGTAGTAGTAGTAGTTGTTTGGGGCTATACAGCTACACTACACACATCAGGTAAAAGGGGGAGAAGAGAGAGAAATCGAGGGAGGAGGAACGCGGCAGGTGTTCTGGCACAAAGAAACCAAAGGAATCCCGGAGCCATTTAGGAGAGAGCCTTCCCCTTCCTAGTTTTCTTCTTCTTTTTCCTTTCTTTCAAGAGAACTGAAATGAAAAAACTAATGGGACCATGTTTTTTCAAATGCATGTTACGAACATGAACAAATTAGGAAACCTATGGTATTGTTCCTTACACGCTCCGAAAGAAGAAACCCCTGTTTCACGTCTTTTTCTTCTTCTCTTTCTTTGTGTGCTACCCTTTCTCTCTTTATTCTAACGTACAAAATTCACTGCAGGACTTGCGCTTTGGTTTTACAATGATTCGTTAGCAGATATTCATACATACATAAGCATATAACAAAACGATTTGTGATGGTAGACGAAAAATCGGTGGTGTTCTTCAATTGGTATACGATGCAATCGGTCCAACATCCATGGATGAGTAAGAATCTAGTCACGATTAGCTGAATAAAAACGTGGACTGAATTCAAACCCATCCAGGGCTACTGGACGATCTTCTTTTTCTTCATGTTTTTCTCCTATGCCTTCTTCAAAAAATCGGCAGCTATCTAGTTTTCTAACGATAACAACTATCAACACAGATTTAATTAAATTTCCAATTTTCGGAGTACCAACAGCTTTTCACAAATCGCAGTAGTTTCTCCCGCTCAACGAAAAATCCGAGCCCCTCGAGCGTCGCAGGTAAACTGAGAGGGGCCCCGCGCGCTCGAGAAGAAGGCCCGCGCGCTCTTGCTCCCACCGTCTCTTTCTCTCCCCTCTCGATTTTCGATCTTTTGCTTGCGCACGTTCTTTCTCTTTCTTCCTCTCTCACCTTTCTTCAGGGAATTTTTGTACCCGAGACGCTGCAGATCTCTCGGGTGGGGGATATCTCTTTTTCAGCACAACCAGGACCCTCGCACACTCTCTCTCCTTCTCTCTTGAAAAACTTGCCCCTGCGTGGCTTTTGGTTCCCTCTTTCTTTATCTTTCTTTTCTTCTACTTCTACCTGACCCGCTCTTAAGAGTACGTTAAAAACACACGCTAGATTCGCTATTAGAAATTTTTTATTTTTATTTTTTCTAGCTGTATGGGTATTAGGCTTTCCCGTTTGTATGGAGTCTTTGGACAGTGAAAATTCAATCATTTATAATTTTTTTGTAAGCTCTGGAGGTGTTTCATACTTTTATACATGTTTTTACGTTAATTTTAAGTATTTATAGAATTTTACTCAGTTGTATAGTTTTCTACTTAATTTGCAAACAATTTGTTTCTATGGGCCACTGGATAAATTTTTACATCCCTTTGAGACAATTATTAACACTTTTACTGTAAACAAGATGTATATCTTAAATTATAAACGTTACTTTAAATATATTTTTTTAAACTTTTTCAAACCAAACGATTAAAACCTAAAACAATGCTCTTGGTATGATTTGTAATTGATTATATGTACAAAGTGTTGAAATTTTAGTCAGTCTCAAATATGTAATGAACTAACATTTTGAACTTTCTTATCGTGCAAAAGTACAAAAAAGTATCTTTTTAGTTACTAAAAAAATAAAAGTTATTTCCTCATTTTTTTTTCTATGTATAAACACCATTCAATTTTGGGAATGTTTATAAAAAGTAAATTAGTATTCCTACGATCAAACACGTGATGAGAATACCACCAATCAGAATATATCCATCCGACTGGACTCTTTGTTCTATCAGTCTCATTGTTGTGTTTGATAACCCTAATGTATTACCAAGGTCTATTAAACGTTTATGTGCTCCCTTGAGGGTATACCTTTGTGATTTTAAATTATCCAATACATCAGATCCTTGCATCAGCAAATCGTTAACACCATGGATAGCATTGTGCATTTGGGCATTATGCTGCACACTTTGATCAATCATAATATCTACATGATCATTTGTTGTGAATCTGCGTGACAAAAGTTCTTCTCTCTCATCGTCTTCTCTTTGTTTCTTCTGTATCATATACTTCCAAGAATTCAAAGCTGCAGCCAGATGTCTACTATCATACTTTAATTGGTCAACCCTCATTTTTGCATTTTGCCTCTGAGATAGTGGACCTTTGGAACACAAGATATCCAGCCTGTCACAGTTACTGTAAAATGAGTTGTTCCTAATTAATTTACTATAAATTCTTCTAATAAAATCCTTATACAACTTTCAATATTTTTAGTATATTTTTCAATTTGATCTAGGTGTAGCAACAAATATGAAAAGGAATAAAAATTTTGGTTTGTACAATAAATTGTGTTTTTTAACGCGTAATTTATGGTTATTACATTAATGACAGATCCCATAGGCTACAAGGTAAATGATTCAATCACCTTTGAAAAATGCATCATTGACAAAAATGCTTAAAGACGCAGCAGAAATACATGCAAGATTTCCATTAAGTTGAAAAAACTATGTTACCCATACAAAGGGCGTGCAAATACCTATTAATTGTCTGTATTTTGGATTCAATTTCTTGTTCAACGGCATCGACATCAAGGTTAGGCGGCTTCCTTTCCAGCTGGCTGAACAAGTGCTGGGTATCCTGAACCAATTTGTTCGTTTGATGGTATAAGGTTTCCATGTCTATTTATTATATCAACGGTTAATAGTGACAAAAAAGTTTTTCAACGAAACTTTTCCGAGCTGCGATTAACATGGTAGAAAAAAAATTATGACGTGGACGAATTTGTCGTTGTTCAGTCGATGCGTTGCCCGTTGCGCGCGGCGATTTCGGGCAAATCCGGCATGCACTCTGGCACCTGACCCTGACTCTGGCTCTGGCCTGCCCTCCAGGCCTCCGGTGGATTTATATAGTAAGGTGCTGACTTGGGCACAGTTTGGCCTGACTTTCACCTAGTAATCGCCATTCTCCAACTTTTATCTGCTCCATCAGCTTTACACATAAATTAGTTTATAAGTATATATTTATTGGTTTTTGTAATTTACACATCGTCATTTACACGTATCGTATCGGTATAATACACAATAACCTTTTAAGTACCATTTTTCAAATCTAAAAGTCTTAAAGTTACAGTAACAAGTACTTAAGTAAATCATACGACATCGTATGTTCGCGCTCCCGTCGACTTCGACGATAACAACTTTTTCATAACTTCAAAGTTATCTTTTCGAAATTAAACCAAACGTGTTCTTGTATGTACAAAAGTATACTATTATTTGACAGTAAGTACTTAATCTCATCTCTGCACGGTAATCGCGGACAGTTTCGACTCTGTTTGGCAAGATCATCCTAACCTGTACTGTTACAGTAAGGAAATCAAGTGGCACAGGCAAAAACAGCTTCTTTCTCCGTGCTTAGTTTTTTTTTAACACATCAAAGAATTACATTAAAATCAGAAAAATGATAAACGTAATAAACGCCGTGGACACCGGTCACGAGGACATGATCCACGACGCGGAGATGGATTACTACGGGCTGAGGTTAGCTACGTGTTCGAGCGATCACTCTGTCAAGATATTTGACATGAAAAACGGCTCCCAAAGCCTCATCGCCGAGCTCAAGGGCCACACCGGTCCAGTTTGGCAGATAGCCTGGGCCCATCCTAAGTTTGGCAACTTGCTCGCATCATGTAGTTATGACAGGTATACTTAACATACTTATAATATATACCCTTCAAACGCATCCGCATGATGATGTTGATTCTTAATTAGCAGACGGTAGCCGATGGTTGCTAACGTCATCCAAGTGAAAATTTGAGCGCTGGACTGATATTTTGTTTTTTTCTTTTTTTTCTCTACTTGGATGTCTTGGATATCCATAATGCCATGAGTTCCTAAGTTGCATTTCTTTTCTTTAACTTACTTTATCATATTGTATTGCTTAGTTTCCTAATAAACTAGTTCACACATTGTATTCTAATTTCAATTACATGTATCCACGTTATTTCAATTAGAAATTTTTATTAATTTATAAAAATTATTTCTGTGTTACTTGAAACCTTGTACAATAGAAATATATAAATCATTTAAGAAGCTGCATAATAAATTATTAAACTCTAAATAGGTGAGGGAAAATTTCTTTAAAGAAGAGAATTAATTAAAATATGGCGTTTACTTACGTTTTACAGAAAGGTTATCATTTGGAAAGAATTTGATGATTGGGTTAAAATTCATGAGCATATGTGCCATGATTCTTCTGTCAATGCTGTAGCTTGGGCACCTCACGAGTTAGGATTGATACTAGCATGTGGCAGTGCCGATGGTTCCATTTCTATTTTGACCAACAGTGGAGACAGCTGGGACACTCAAAAAATTCAAAATGCGCACACCATTGGTTGCAATGCCGTTTCTTGGTGCACGGCTATTGAGCCAGCTTTTGACCCAGTTTCACAGCAAAAGACCCCTGTCAAAAGACTTGCTAGTGCTGGATGTGATAATATTATTAAGATATGGAAAGAGGAGGCAGATAGATGGATTGAAGAAACTAAATTGGAAGGTCATAGTGATTGGGTATGTAATAATTATCTACTCTAAAAATTGGAATATTTAAAATTTTCTGATCTGTCAATATTGATCGTTTTTTAAATCATTTTTAATTTTGTTGATATTTTAATTCTCCTATCTAATTTTTGTAAATACTTTGTACTGTGTTTCATTACTCACATACGTAAAATAAATAAGTAAATAAAAAATTAATAGGTAAGGGACGTTGCATGGGCACCATCCATTGGTTCATCGAGAACAACAATTGCATCGTGTTCTCAAGATCGTCGTGTAATCATTTGGACGTCTACAGATTACATTAACTGGAATTCAACAATTATAAACGTCTTTGACGACGTAATTTGGAATGTGAGCTGGTCCCTGACAGGTGGAATTCTTTCAGTAAGTGGAGGAGACAACAAAATTTCGCTGTGGCGTGAAAATCCTGAAGGTCAATGGGTTGGTATTTCTGACCTGAACAAAGGTCAAGGAAATATCAATTCAGAGCAACGTGCACTTTGAAAGCACCATCCTCTTTTATTGTAAATTTGAATTTTAAATGTTTTATATATTCATACGTTGTATAAGTAAATTGATTAAAAAAAACTGCAATAATAGTAAGAGGAAAAAAAAATACCGACTTTACGACGCGAACTTGATCCATGAGACTAGAAATCACTTACCTTCTTGACTTAACTGGAGAGAATTCTCTACTTGGCTTACAATTTACATCGATGTAATACACATACCAAACCCCTAATTTTATTTACATTAAATGGTACTGCAACTTTATCAAAAAAATATTTTTTGTTTTTGTATACTAACTAAACATAAACATCTGTTAAGGATTATAATTAATGTTTGTGTTTTTTAAGTTAAGATTAATTCTATGACGTGTTGTGTAATAGCTTGTTAGCAAATAATTAAATAAATACATAAAATTAATTTAACTATATGTATTTGTAAACTTTTTANCTATATAAGTTTATAAAAATATTAAGAAAATGTTATTTTATTCTTTGTTAACAAAATTAATCTTGTGTGTACAAGGAGGCAGTAAAAACAATGTCTCTCTTAATTTTAGTAGAAGTTTCTTCCATTTTTTCTCTCAGTGCCGGGTGGCCAATGATTATTGCGGCATTTCTAACATCTTTTAAAGTTTCGTTCAGCTGCTGAATACATCTTACAATAATACCTTCTTGTGTGTCGGTAAGCTGCATTATTTTTGCAAAAGACTTTGCTCTGGCCCATTCATACACCACTCTTAACAAGTGGAAACTTGGTTTTGCTATGGGATCCAGGTCGTATTTTATTTCAATTTGCACCAATCTTTCATAAACCTCCAACATTTTATCTCGTAACTGTAAAAAAAGGTTTAATAACAATCAATTTGACGGAAAGTAGCTAATTATTTTATATTTTATGGGACAAATTCATTACAGCTAAGAGATTTCGTTAAAAGTCGAAAAAAAATCAGTAGTTAATCAAACCTCATTCAATCTAGGAATCTCTTCTTCTTTCGGCTCGTTATTACTTTTTTGAAATACCAGTGACGACAAAGCTGCAGCAATCTCTTCTGGTTGCCAGTTTGTTAATACATTGTCTAGTACTAGTTCTGTTAAGAATATCTCATAAGTTCCCATTTCAAGGGCCACTCTACCTTTTAATGTCACTGTAATTTTAATAACACATATTAAAGACTTTTTAATAAACAATTAGATCAAGTGAGCAGACATTTTACCTCGATCTTCGTGATCAATATATTTGAGTTCTCTAAGGACCTTTACTCTACTTTCATACTCTGGATAGTTTCCCAAATATTCATCACTCAGCCTTTTAAGTAACATTTGTTTCTTTTGTTCAAGTTCTTTGTGTTGAAAGACTTGATGAAATTCTTTTTCAAAATTGGATATGTCACCTATCTTAGAAATGACAGTATGAAGTACATTTCCTAATGTATTCAATTCTATGATCTTTGTTTGAAGTTCAAATTTATTTAGTTTTAGTTCTAAATATGGCAATATTACATCAGATTTTTTGTGAACGTCTTTGGACAATTTGCAAAGCTCTTCAATTGCTGCTAGACAAGAGGGTCCAGGAAGTGCATCTCTGAAATTGCATTTAAAAAACAAAATTTAATAAGTTTCTAAATAGCATATTACTGAATCTTACCACTCAGAAAACTCACTTGAACCTAGGAATTTGTCTCTTATCCCAGTCAGCCAAGATTAATTTATAATTTACATTCAAAACAGCATTTGTCACTTCTATAATAGAAGACGCGGGTACGATTAAAACATTGTAAGTTGGACTATCAACTGGTTGGTAAAACTTCTTCCTTATCAGACTAACAACATTGTGCCAGGTTTCAGACTTGGGATTATCTTTGGCTGCCATTTCTTCCTCTGTACTCGACAGTACAAACACTTTGTAAGATACATCTTTCTTCTTTTGTAAACCCAGCAAAATTCCAAGTTTATTGTAATGATGCTGATACGAGATGAGTAACACTCTGCCTTCCACCATTGCTTTGACAGCCTTCTTGGCTTCGAGCATGTGAGGTCTGAGTTCCTTCCACTTTGACAAGTAATTTATCGAGGACTGATAAAAAAATCCAAGTTGCTTCTGGTCCTCGGTAAGCGCCGGTGCCTGCTCGATCTCCCTCACAACTTTCTCTAACTCGTTTCGATTTTTTTCGAGATTCGACATAGTCTTCGTTTCTTTGAACGACCTCCGCATCATTTCTCCAACAGAAATGGCCTCGCTCAAGCGCTTTAAATGAAGGACCATGGCGTAAGTGACTTTAAATTTGGAGACGAGGTTCTGAGGCCTGCCGACGCTCATGTCGTGCAGTTCCTTCTCATGAACCATCTTCTTGCAGAGAATCATGACGGTACCGATGTCGTCGTGCCCGCGACGTCCGGCACGGCCAGCCATCTGAATGTACTCGGTTGGAAGGAGGTGTCGGAAAGCATTGCCGTCGTATTTTTCTATGGAATCAAAAACTACCGTCTTCGCCGGCATGTTTACACCCATAGCGAATGTTTCCGTTGCGAATAGTACCTGCAATTAAGGCGCAAGATGGTTTTTTTCACTTTTATTTGTTGTACACGTTATGATCTTTGGTTTACCTTGACTATGCCTTTTTGGAACAGCATTTCTACTATTTCTTTTAAAATCGGCAAAATTCCACTGTGGTGAACTCCAATGCCTAATTTGAGTAACTTGTGCATTTTTATGACCTGCGGTAGCTGTGAATCCGTACCCTTTAGGTGTTTTATGGACTGTTGGAAGAACTCCGTTACATATTTTTGTTGTGCGTGGGTAAGTAAACTTTCTGTGAAAGATTCCGCAGTTTTGTCACATCTATTTCTGGACAATGTGAAAATAACAACCGGAAGTTTATCCTGAATGAAGCATTTTTTTTTTTTTTAGTTAAATCGGAGTTTTATGTTAAAATATGTATAATCATGTGTGATTATTATTATCACCGTTGATTCTAAATGCTCTAGAAGAGCACTGTACATTCTTTTTTCTTTGGCCGCTATTGAATTGAGTCTTGCTTTATCTTCTGCTGCCTCTTCCTCTTCTTTCGATGCAATAACTTCGTTTACGGTTTCTTCAACACTAGCGTTTTTCGGAACTATGGGAGATTTTATTGCGAGTGACGGCTTGTGTTTTGTATTTAGAAATTTTGTTTGCTGCATTTTTTTTCTTTTCAGCATTGCTTGATCCCATGCCTCCATTGCTTCTTTGACACTGACAATATATCAATAATACTTTTTAACTTTGTGGGTGGAAATTAAAATTTTAAAGTTTTCTTATGTAATATTTTACCTCTCTCTGAGGAATGTCCCATCTTTATTAATAAAAAGGAATGACTGATCCTTTGTCTTCTTATCAAATCCTATATAAAGATAATGTTCTAAAGGCACGGGTCTTTTCAGTGTACTTATCACATACATTTTTCGTCTCTTGATTTGTCCTACCCAATGTGCAAATTCAACTGGATTTGGAACTGTAGCTGATAACATTACAATGCTTATGGTGGGTGGTAAGAGAATAATGACTTCTTCCCAAACGTGACCCCGCTGTTAAAATAGAAAAAAAAACATGTTGATACAAAATTAAACAGGAAACGATTTTTCAGTGAGTAAATAATAACTTACATCCTCGTTATTTATGTAGTGCACTTCATCAAACACAACATACTCAACATCTCTGAGAACTTCTGCAGCGCAATACAGCATTGATTGTAAAATTTCTGTGGTCATGATAAGACACGTTGCTGTAGGATTAATCTGCAGATCTCCAGTAATAAGACCAACGTTCTCAAACTTTTCTTTGAACTCTCTAAACTTTTGATTGGAAAGTGCTTTTATCGGAGAAGTGTAAATGGTTCTGAAAAATATTCGATAAACTTTAAATAAAACCGTTCGTGAAGTCGACTCAAATCGCAATTAAAGCTCCACCTTGTCATGTGCTTTTGGCTCATGGCTATGGCATACTCGGCAATCGTTGTTTTGCCAGCAGATGTGTGCGCAGCAACAAACACGTCGCACTGTTCTTCCAGCTTTACAATTGCTTGTTTTTGGAAATTATCCAGCTCGTAAGGAAAAGTCATAGCTGGCTCTAAAATTTTCGTGTCAAAATCTGTCACGGGGACATTAATGTCTATTTGTTCTGCCCACTCCGTTTTAACATTTTTCTGGACGTGAGCATCCGATATTTTGAGAACTGGAATCTTGTATTCTTTAAAAGGCTCGATGTATTCATCCATGTTTGGCACATCGACATTTCCAGCCTTCTTCTTGGAAACGTTTTCTTTGCCTCCTATATTTTCACCGTCTGCAGGTTTGAAAGACAAAGAACGCCCTTCTGTGTCTATAACATTCATAAGATTGATACTTTCATCTTCACTGCCTGGCTCATTGTCTGATTCTTTGCAAGAGTGTTCAAAGCTTTTGGGTGTGCATTTATCAGACATAAATTGGATGCCAGCGCTAAATCCCTTAGCCAGCGTCTTCAGGTTCTTGTCAAAGTCAATTTCAACTTTTCCTTCCATCATGTTCTTCTCAGGCTCGTCGAAACCACCAGGCCAAAACAAAAAATTACTGGTATTCCCTAAAATATGTGTTTTTAATTTGGGATACGTTATTGTCTAAAAAATAGAAGGTATTGGCTGAAAAATGGAGCACTCACCTCTGACACCCTCGACAGCTGGACCAGGTGCTCTGGACATCGACATCGAGTTCCTCACCGATTCCCCGATGTTTTGCAGACACACCTCTTGGATGTCTCCGATGCAGCCGGTAATTGGATCCCTTTCATATTTGAGAGTTGTGCCAACTGGAGCCAGGTCAGCTTTGAGAAGTGACAGTAGCTGTGGCTGTCTCTCCCAGTACTGCTGTACATTATCAATCTGATGTATGGGAAGCTTCTCTGGGTACACAATGTATTCCCTAAGCTCGGTTTTGATATCAGGCAGTATTGGAGGAGGACCAAAGGGCATCTGTCAACAATCACGTTTTATTGTCAAAAAGCCGTTGTATACTTTATATTCGTTTGCGAGCATGCAAGTATATATACCTTACCTCCAAGTAATCATTGTCGATGGACTCGCTCTGCATCGTGATCAACTTGGGAAGTAAGTCTTGTTCCGAACGGTACGTGTACGACGGATATTAAGACATAGATTTTTACTTTTTTTGTATGAATGTGTTGACCTACTTATAACGAACAAATCAAACAAAAAGCTCGTCTTTCAATTCAGTTGTAGAGTTTAACATATCCATCACACGGGTAACAGGTAGGTATCTTATAAGTAAACCCCGATCAGACAAAGCCAAAACAATCAATGCCGCGCAGCCGATTTTGATACCTATATATACTTGTTGTTATTGTTTGTGAACCAGTGAACCGAGCCCCGCGCACGCTACTTTATTGGAGTATGTACCAAAAAAAAGACAGTTTATAAGCTTGCAGGAAAAAACTAAAACAAACCCGGCAAACGCCAGAGATTCTGGTAAACCCGGGTGTGTATGTGTAGGGTAGGTATTGTCAATTTTGTCAATGTTCAATTTTAAAATTTTAGATTGACAAAATTTTTAAGTTAGCCATAACTTAAATCAGTTCATCAGTTGTCAATTTTCAATTTTGTCATCGTGTATAGTGTATCAGCGCCATCTAGCGTTGCGGATTTCGTGGACCGTGGACGTGGACTGACGCAAACTATTTTCTATAGAGGAACCGTCTTGGGATTAAGTATACACTACGACAATTGACGGCGATATGTAACATATACAAAAGCCAATAAATACATACCTACTTAATCTTTAAAAAAAACAATTGACAATATACCTATACCCTACACAGTACACACCCGCGTTTACCAAAATCTATGACGTTTACCTTGTTATTGTAGTTTTTCCCTGCAAGCGTAACTTTAAAGTTTTCAGTTCTAAGTGTTTTAGTATCAATAATTTTGATTTAAAAAAAGTGTAATTTAGGTATTTTGCAAATAAATACATTTAAATGTGTAATGATTAACTTTGAATGAACATCTGAAATTTGTAGTCTTTGCTTACTACAACCAAGTTCTGCTTCTGCTTGGAGTGGACGTTTCGTCGTCGTCGTTGATGTTTTGTTGTTGAAGTCAAAGGTACATTTGTCAACAATGACAGACATTGACTGGCCCTGGCAATACAGTTTTCCACCATTTTTCACGTAAGCTGCTTTATTTTCCTCTCACTCTTAACACAGCTTTGTTTCCTTGGTTTTTTATTTTTTTTTTGTGACGGCAAGTAAACAATAAATAAACACTATTTGCACAATAGTGCACTTATTTTATTATTTATATTATATAACTAACTCTCTGAATATGTAAATATTTAATTGTAACAGAAACTTATTACTCTCCAGTAATCTATTTATTGATTGCAAGTAGTATATGTGTGTAATGTGTGCAATACATTATACATTATACACCTTATACACATCTGTCAATCACTCTCAACTGCTGAAATTTATTTGTTTGAAGTACTGATTTAAGTTATACCACCACTACTTGCATAAAAAAAACTATGTTGTTGTCAGTTGATCAAAATGATTTGAGTGTGAATTTCAATGCTTCCATAGACTTCAGCCACATGCAGAGACAAGAGCAAAACAAATAGCAGCATGGAAAAGTTTGGTGTTGAATTATTTCAAAACGACCAAACAAACAAATCTTGACTTTCGAGAAATACATAGCAATCCGTTGTTTAATAATACATCAATCGACAGTATCCTTTAGTGATTTCTTTTTTTTTTTTTTTACCATCAAAACCATCTACCACAGTTTTTTCTTAAGACAATTAAATTAGGAAAGTTGCCAGTAGAAGTAGTTACAATGATAATAGAAGAATTAGCTAGAACCGGTAATGCAATACCTTTGGACAAGTCAAAACAACGATGGATAGTTTCATGGCACACATTGGAAGAATGGGCAGATATTATATACTCGTGGGCACAAACAAACGCTTTCATTGGATCTGTTTGTACGTTTTATGAGTTAACCCAAGGTGAAGATACAGTTGATCAAGGTAAATGATAAAATAAAGTTAATGTAACTGCTAAGCTAAATTCGATCTTTATCCATTAACAAAAATATATTAAAGTTTTCTTGACATTCAATGTCATGCACAATGTGAAATTGATTAAAATATATTACTGTATTTTATAGAAAAATTGTAAATGTTTTAATGTATAGCAATTTTTAAGCATGTGATTCTCATTTTTCAGAGTTTCATGGCTTAGATAACGAGATTCTTGTTAGAACTCTGAGGATTTTAGAAGCTTCTAAAAAAGCAGAGTTAATCATGTTTGATGACAATGAAGGTGTAAAATTTTTTTGAAGCTATATGTTATTTTATTATTATAATCGTTGTAAAAATATTAGTTTACAATTATTGTCGTCATACAAATTTTTAAATTAAAGTTTTAAAAATAAAATCATTTTTTAAATTATCACGTTAGTGATGATGTTACTTGTTAATGTATAATTTTGCCCATTCTGTTCCAGTTGTCAACCAAAAATTTATTTCCCTGGATTCATGATTCCATTTTTTGATTTCATTGCAAACCCTACTTATATCATTTCTATTTTACAGTCATTCTATATTAAAAATGTAGTCCATGCCATATAAAAAACATTTTTTATGTACAATTTGTATTTATAGCTCAAACTATACCATAACTGTCATATAATACGAATATAACAATATTTTGTTAGTTTTCAAAAACGTAATTTATATTTTATTCTATGAACTCTACAAAAAATGTAAAGGACTCCGTTTAAAAGTATGGGCCACTATTTGGTTTGTCGATGCGCAGCTACCCCTACTAAAAAAAAGCTTACATCTTCATTAATGAGAAAATATTTAGAAATTATGATAGTATAGACTATGCGGTCAGGATTCAGTGTTGATTTTTTTCAATATTTATTACCATTTAGCTATTTTTTTTTTTTAATTTTTGATACGACACGAGCTCTTTAAAAGAACTGTAATTAAAGTAGAAAAATTCAAAAAAATAACTTATATTTGTGAATGTTTATAACCATAAGTAAAAATAATACACTTTAATTTTTATTATATATTTATTCATGTACATCAAATGGTAAAATACATTACGAAGCACAATTTTTTTAGTTACATGATAGTGAAAAAAAACTTAGCAACGATCTGTCGGTACCAATGTAGTCGAATAATTAACTTATACACCGGCACTTGGTAGCGGTCGTGTCAGTCTTACATGCACCACATTGTTTAACTATCGGACGATCTAATGACTTAACTTGGCTATAACGTTTGTAAAACACTAATGTTTTATAATTGATAAAAAATTTTTTTTTTTAATTAAAAATATTTATTCGAAAAGTATTTTTCTACCACTGTAAAATGATTTTTGGACATTTAAGCTTATCAATCCAGTCTGACATTGCAATGAAAATTGTCCTCTTCATTAGACGTAACAAAAAATTCAGACGCGCTATAACAATTTTTTCACTTTCAAATTCATACGGTATCACGAAAATTTTATCATATATTTATCAAGATTTTATTTTTGTGATAAATTTTGCCAAATTTCAAATGTTACACTAATAGCGGGTTATTATATTATTGACTCCAAGCACATCGCATGTCTAAATAAAATTCCAGAAATATAAACTAAGTTTGCTATAAAAAAAAAAACAAAAATAAATAAATAAAAAATTATAGGAATATGTACACTTTTATTTATTTCTTATCAGATATCAAGAAATCATTATTTTTCTACGTCTAATCAGGTAATAAGAAAGATGCGTACCAGTGACGAAATCTACATATACTATTATATATTTAACATCAGAAGATCTGAGTAGAATTTTTTACTTTAAATCGATAATACGATTGCTAATAGCCTTCAATCAGAGAAATAAAAATGAACGATACATAATCTATAGAGATTGTGGAGAAAATTATGTGGAAATATAATAATAACAATATAATTGATAACCCTATAAAAACATAAAAACGGGTGTTCCCAGAAAATGGCACGAAAACGGTCCAAAAACTATGGGGCTCGCACAGCTTGAACAAGTGCGGAAAAATTTTTTTTTTTTTATTCAATGATGCTAAAAAACGATTTCAGTGCTATAAATTTCAGTAATTTTCAACGAAGTAAATTTTTTTAACAAGTACTAAAAAAAGTTAAATATGATTAATTTCGCAAAGAACACACAGAATCAAAGATGGAAACATTTTATGACAAGAGTTGAGTAACTAGTTGCTTAAAATATCACTTGTACAAGTTCTTGTTTGAGGTAGTAAAGTTTTTTGTTTTAATTTTTGTTAACTTACGAGAAATGTATTATTTCGATGTATTATTATGATTTATAAACTAGATAATTATTTTTATTCAACACGTAACTAAAAACGGTCATATATAGAATTACTTGCCAATATATCAATACATCTTGTTTGTATATTAATATATCTTAAGTAACATTATATTATGAATTTATATGAATATTATTTAATACACAAATTTATTTTAATACTTAAAAATGTATAAATTACGACTAATATCTGCTTACAATATTAAAGTTGTTAATCTAATAATAAAAAGAAAAAAAAATTTTTCCCTCGTATTCTCGTAATTACATCAATCTCAATCGATTCTTGCGGGCACTGGAGCTGGCTGTAATTTACCAACTTGAAGTTGCATCATTTTATCTGCACTGTTCAACTCACTACCTAAAGTTTCATTAGTTGTTTCCACAGGTTGTGTCGTTTCAAGTTTTTTTTTCATAAAGTGTCCCTTGAAATGTAAAAATGATGCAAAGCCAATCATGCCTAATCCACTGAACATCAAGAAAAATCGCCAGATCCTATTAAACAAAAAAAAAAACGCATCTTTAGAAAAAATTTCTCACATAATGTGTATGTAATTATGCTTTGTCCAATCGAATAATTTACGTTGCTAGTTTAAGTTGCAACAATCCAAATTTAATTTCTTTGATCATGAATTTAGGCAATACAAGAGCATCGTCGATCCACAATAAAGGTAAAAGAGCCTCGGACATGTTTTTCATCAATTTGAACTTCTCTATTTTCGTGAGGTACATATTGAGCTGAGCCCTAGAATGGGCATAAACGGGAGCACCAGCAAACGGCTCTATGTCAAGGTGCAGCATATGCTTATCCTGTGAAAAAAATTAAATTTCATAATCACTCCACCTATACATTTAGGTTCGAAAATTTATAATGACAAATGCTTCTTCGACCTTATTTGGACTAAGTCCATCGACTCTTGACAAATAATAGGGATCGGCTAGATAAAAATGCGGATTCGTAACGACTATGGGTATTTTGGTGCACTTGTAAGCGTCGAAGGCTCCTTTTTTCAGGCACTTGTCTTCACTCATGCAGTAGCATTTGTCGTGAGGGTTGTTTTCCGGATCGATTCCTACGCTTGTTGTATACCGATAAGTCGATATTCCTATCGGCATTGGTAAATGGAAAAAAAAAAACATCAAATAAAAGATTAATAAATAATTGTTGAAATCTAGTGGCAACGCTTGTGATTATTACCAGCAGTTTTGTTGTCTTCGAGATAATTCAAACTTATGACTCGGCACATACTTTCGGTGTACAATCCGAGAAAATCGTCTTTTTTATAGTAGGGGTGGAAAATCGTACCGTCAGTCGCATTTCCAAAAGCATCACACACTTCGTCGTTCCACACAGAAATATTGGGCTTGCCGTCGTATTCGATAACTTGTCCCACCGACATGAGATGTTTTTTGCCTCTGTAGACGCGCATTCGCGCCTTGGAACTCGTTCCATTTGTCTGTCATTGAATTTACAAACCATTTTTTCAGTACCATTGATCGCGTAGGTGTTACGAGGAAAAAAAAAAGAAAAAAATTATCAAGTACTCACTGCTCCGAACAGCGACATGAGGTACACGTTTTCTTCGAGTTTTATTAAACGCAAGTCTTCGTACTGATTTCTAACTTCGGTACAAACTGCTGCTCCTGGAACATCTGTGACTCTACAATCGACGACAAATCCTTCGAAAAGTATGTCTTTGGCTTTTTGTTTCATAAATATGTTGCTCGGATTTTTAAATATACTGTTGATTCCCTTGGCTTGACAAAAATTCATTGAATACTTAATATTTATTACCACTCTCTTAATATATGAAATTGTAAAAAAATTTTTTTTTTTTTTTCATGTACACAACTACAGGAAAATAGCAAAAATTGCACTAGACAAAAAAGTGAATATTTAATCTAGAAAAAAAAGCCTTAGCCAAATAGTTATAGAGGTTGACTGTGTATTTTATGGTTTTTTAACACTCTAGTGAAGTGTAATCGATGTAGACGATCTTGCAGCTAATTATTTTGTATTAGTGTTTCTCGCGGGACTGACTAATAAGGTACGAGCAGAAATTATTTATTTACTAATCACTTATTATTGGCAGACTTGGGTATAATTATTTCAGAGATTCTTCTTCGCTGTAAAATAAAACTTTTTTTCTGTATATGTAGAACATTGTTTCAACTGGAAATTATTTTTACATTTCTACTTATAATACGCTACTCAACTGAAATTTTTTGTAAAGTCCTTGAACAAATAGTATAATTTTTTTTTTTTTAATACTACATACTTTTCTTTCTTTTAAAACAAAAAGCATTATGTTTATTGGAAAAAATTTTGTTAAGTACGGAATCATAAATAATGATAAAAATAATTTTCCCAGTTAAAATAATGTATGAAACTTTTATAAAAAAAAATTTTAACGCAAAGTATCAAAAAAAGTATCCATGCCCAAGTCTGCTTGTGAATACTACACGAGGCAACGTCAAATCTCTTATGTTTTATTCTTTGGAAGCACCTTCATATTGTAAACATAATATTGTAAGTATCGTTAAAAAAAGTTTTACTATCGAAAGTAGTAAGACTTCAACTGATTCGAAATAAAACATTTCTACTATTTTATCTAGTTGAATATTTATAATTTATAAATAAAATTTTTCACTATTAAAAATTTAAAGAGTACGAAGTAAAATAAAAACAAAATACGTAGACCGTTGAAACAAAATATCGACACTACCTGCAGCTGGCATTATAGCGGGCTTTTCCAATTTAATTGTATTAACTAATCCAAGTATAAAATAATTAGGAACAATAAGTTCCTCTTCTCCTGTCAGTCCTTTACTTTTTTCTGCATTAAAATAGTATGTATATTTAAACGTAAAAGACACCGAATCGTCATCGTCATGGTCAATTTGATCTGTCTTTTCTATCCATTCGCTAAAAAAAATTTAACATTTTCAATTTTACAATCATTGAAAAAATAAAAAATCAATTAATATTTAAAAAAAAAGGATCTTGCAAGAATCTAGTTGAATTAGTAATTTTGTGATTGTTGAAAATTATGTGATGGTTCACTTGAATGTATTCCTAAAGACTTACTCATAAACAAAAGGTCCCACTTCATGAACAATAGGTTTTGCTCCCTGTGTTATCTCGTCAGGGTTCGTGACATTAAATAAGTAAACACTAAAGTCTAATGAAAATGGAAAGGTACTCCATATTTTTCTCATAAATTTTCCGGGCCTTAGCTCTACTTTCTGCAAAATATGACTTTGTCAAACATGTTGTCCATCGTTTAAATTTTATCTTCACCTTATGTACACCATTTTCATTAAATTTGGTGCTAAAATCTCACGGAGTCAACTTACCGCTTTCACTTGCGATTTGACAACAGGTGGCAAAATGATGTATCGGAACACAAAGCTGAACACAAATAAACCAATACCTATGAATAAGAATTTTTTACGGTAATCTTTTCTCATTTTGTACGGTTCATCAACTTCGATGATTTTATTCAAAAGTGTAACAAACGACCGAAATTTTCGAGAATTTCTAAGTTTTCCTTGCACATTTGAAAACACCGATTTCAAACTACACAATGACGAAAAAGATCTCGCTGTTTCAGCCAAAATAGACGTGATTCGATAATAATTCAACCAACACTTTCAGATAATTTTTCCTCCGGTACCGCCACTAAAATTTAGTTAACATCAACGCATCCGAACATTCATCATCGGAGCTTTTAATTTTTTCGTGGCCAAAAAAAAAAAAATCTTTTAACTCGCAGCAAACAGAGAGACTCTACCATATGCACCAATCCTAAACGAACGACGGGCCGAAACTGAGCTTGGATGGTTCGCGGCGTGTACTTGAAGCTTTCACGCTTACGCACTCGTATTTGATTGTGGAGGTTTACAATTATTATATTATAGTATTCTTGATTTTCCACGTGTTTGCGGGTTCGTTAAACATTGCGTACATAAGCTGCCATGACCTTTTCCAAGGTCATCGCTGTTGGATTGATTTTCTTGACAAACTTATGTATATTTTACAAGCTTATACGCGCATTCTATGAATATTAATTATTAACAACACTACGTAGAGTAGACGTGTGGCGATTTTGTTCAAGAAAGTGTAAATAATTGTACGTCAGACTGTCGTGCAAGACTTTTTGGAAAACGTTACAAGAAGTAAAATCCTCATTAAGAGTCAAAAAAGCATTGAATCTAAAAAAATAAGGGCATCAAATGGTATTAAATTACAAGGAAAAAAAAAAATTTCCAGAGTGCGGATTTAATTCAATTCCATGATATTTAGTATGTACCTTGTAAAATTTTAATAGATGTTGGTACTAAGTAAAATTTAAACCAAAATTTTTATAATTAAGCACATGAGTCACTTAGTTTTATTGGATATATTAATTTTACACTATGACTAATTTTCGTTCACAAATCATCATTCATATTCGAGCACATCCGTATATAATTATATATAAACTTGAACAATCTATCTAGTGTTAATATGTTTTTTTTTTTTTTTTTTTTTTTAATTCACACACGCATGCATACATAAAAATATATAAACATGTATGAGTTCAAAAGGCTCAACAGTATTGCATTTTAACAATGCAATTTTGTCAGTAGATTTGAAAGAGATTTCGCGGGTACATTCTGCAGTCTTAGCTTACATATTGATGATTTTATTGTACAATCGTATTTTTTGAGCCTAACAATATTAATGAGTACAATATTGGTAACAGTGAATTATTTTTTAAAGCTTGTCCTCTATACTTAAGTATTAAAAAATGGCTCACCCGTTTACAAATCGACTGCAATGATATAAAATTTCGTACCGATAAAAATAAGTGTTTAAGTTTGGAAAATCAATAAAAACATTCAATCGTCTACTTTTCTCAAATGAGCGAGTTCTGTTGCTTCTTGTAGTCCCTCCACGGCGTCGGCGTTGTCGAGTTCACCTTTGCTCATCTTTTCGACGATTATAGCTGCCAAAGCGTCACACATAACATTCACCGTCGTTCTAAATCGATCCCTGAAAAAATATTTACAATACATCATACTGTAATATTTTATGTCTCGAAGTTTGTTTACTTAAACAGTTCTAGTGTAAAACTTGAATGTAACATGATATTTAATTGTACACTTTTTTGTAAAAATTTTAAACTTCTTATTTTCAATCAATTTCATTATAATTCGCGTACTCAGTATTGATTAAATTGTTTCAAAATATAACGATACATTTATAATATATCAAGACACTGTTTAACGTGTATTAATTTTTTCCTCGACATAAGGCATTTAATACTTTCTTATTTAAAGTTTACTTTACCAATCGAAAAAATCGTAACATTTTATTTTCCATTAGAGATGAATCTAACTTTTTGCAGTAACATATCTGTTAAAAAAAATTTCCATGAGCTACGATAAAATTAACAATTGGTCACAACGTTTTTTTTTTTTCTCAATCTTCTTAACTCTGCATGAAGTAAAAATTAGCGTAATATATTCAAAGACAAGATTTCTGCAATATTTGTTATCTGTATGAAAAAAAAAAAAAAAAGTACTTACAAAAGCCAATCGACCGCAAGAATAAGGGTGACGTCTTTGTCGGGTAGACCAACGGTATTGAGCACCATGACCATGGTAACGAGCCCAGCCTGGGGTATTCCAGCAGCACCAATACTCGCCGCCGTGGCAGTTATGCTGATCCCAATGAGGTCACTTATGCTCAAATCAATGTGTCGCACTTGGGCTATAAAAATTGCTGCTACCGCCTCGTAAAGAGCCGTCCCATCCATGTTGATCGTCGCTCCAATCGGCACCACGAAGCGCGATATCCTCGAATCCACGCCCATGCTGTCCATGCACTGGAGTGTTATGGGTAGCGTTGCAGAGCTGTTTTTGGTTTTTCATTTATAAATTTATACATTTTTTTTTTTTTTTTTTTTTTCATCATTTGTTGAAAACAATCATCAACTTGATGGTTCAAAAAAAAAAAAAAAAAGAACGAAAATTACCTTGACGCTGTTCCGAAAGCGGTGACCATGACTTGGCTCATCTTACCGATGGCTCTGAATGGCAATTCACGCGTGCAGACGAAAAATATGATGGAAAGGGTTCCGAAGCCGTGTAATATCAGCCCAAGCAGTACAGTCAAGAAGTACAAGCCTAGCGACTGCACGACGCTTCCAAATTCTTTTATATCGAGGATTTGAGCAGCTACGAGGAACGTCACACCCACGGGAGACAACCTGAGCAATTAAACGCGAGAAAATTTATTTTTTACGCCAACAAGATTTTAAACAATGGCACAATGGTGCACGGATAATATTTAAAAATTATTATTCCTACCAAATAACCCAGTTCGTGATGATCATCATAGCTTCGGATAGAGCATTGAAAAAGTCCAACAAGGGCTTGCCTTGTTCGCCCATTTTGCCAACGGTGATACCCAAGATAATACCAAAGACGACGAGCCCAAGTGTGTTTGTGCCATCCCCGTATGAGGATGATATGTCATAGTCGTATTTTGAAGTTTCTGGAACAATTATTCATTGAATATTATTTATTTGTTTATTACTTTACCGTCAAATTAATGAACTATAAAAAAAAAACTTTACCATTCGTTGCGTTAGCTGGTGGTGTCAGTTCAGTTCGATACTAGAATGAGACAATTAAAAATTGATTACTTCTCACTTTACTGCAACGACTGTGTTAAACATTGAATTTCAACAAGTGTCCTTTACTTACTTGTGCTATGCAAGCTTGCACAAGATTCGGTGGAAAAATATTTCTGGTAAAAACAATTTTTAATTAACATTATAGTATTTTTTAAGAATAATTTTTTGCTTAAACATTTAAATTACCTGACTAGATCTAAAAGTGTGTCGATAGTGGTAATACTGCGTTTGGGTGCTTTACTGGCATCGGCTTCCAAGCCATGGCCGTGCAGACCGGGTCTTATCGTCGTTACGAGAATCATGCCAAGAATTACAGCACAAACTGTTGTTGTCGCGTAATAGTATATTGACCTTCTGCCGATTCTACCTGTAAATCCAATGAGTCTAATTTTTTTTACGCCGATTATTAATTTATTTCTATGAAAACCGTTATTTCGTCTTGTGGATCTTGTCTACGTTAAAGACTTAGTGAAGTAATTTTAATGATGATTAATAAAAAAAAAAAAAAAAACAAAACCACGATGGGATGGTCGGACACATAGAAGCTTTTCAAACTTTTGCGTGGTAAAAAATCTTTATTATTACTCGGATCCATCAGTAAAATTGTAGTCGAATTATTAACTTATGTACCTTGTACTTGATAGCGGTCGTGTCAGTCTCATACAACATGCACCACCTGGCTTAATTATCTAACGATCCAACTTAGCTGATATTCACACTATGCCCTTAAGACTCTAAATGACCCGACGATTTTTCATGGTTTTTACCATTTTTCTTACCGACCGTTATTCTCCTGAATACATCCAACATTTAAAGTTTACGATACAATAAAAATTATTTTTGTTTAGTCAATTGCAAGCTAAAAATGTTAAATATCGTAATAACTGGGGTTTTTAACAAAAATTTTTTGTGAAGATTAAAACTAAGAAGTATTCATCAAGTACTCCAATTTTTATCATGATCATAATTTTAAGAAAAGTTAGCAAAGTGTACGTTATGTGAGTACTACTTGTTAACAATGGCGATGTAGCATAATTGATAAAAGTTTGTAATCCTCAAAATATAAACACAAACAGATAAATATAAAAGCAGTAAAAAAAGCGGTTGCTTGGAAAAAAGGAAGTTACAATATTTTGCATAAAATAAGTTCTAGTTGTAGGTGACTGTGTGGCTAAATCATAAAATTATATAATTCATAGGGTCAAAATACATGTCCGAACACTTTGGTGGTCTCGTGGACCTATGTCGACTACGGCAACCTCCTCGGGTTGTTTTCTTGTTTAGTGAGTCTATTTCTGAATCCCAGCTTCACTTTATTCTTGCTATTAAGAGAGGTGATATGTGTTTACAGCTCTCAACTGTCTTCATCAAAATATTCATACTTACTAAAAATACGCACAGATCATGTGATTTTCGTGTAAAAAAAAATTGGAAAATTTTTTGTGAATAATCTTTTACAAAACATTTCAAGTCTTTTTATATTTTCAAATTATTGGCTTGAAGAAAAAAAAAAACTTTTCTTTGTAATACAAGGAACTTCATACTACAGTTATTTAAACAAAGCGACCGATGGCTATTAGGTAGATTAATTAGAACCACTGTATTTTGTTTAAAAAAAGCAAAAACTAAACAAATAAAAATCGCTCGAAGAAAAATAAATTACCGGAAAGACTAAGATCGAGACTGCCGATGGCACTGACAATGCTTGAAAGAATCAGTGGCAGTATAAGCGATTTCAGCATCCGCAGAAAGAGATCGCCTGGAAATTGTATGTACATGATCTCTCGCTTGGACCAGTCTTTGCCGTTTTTGAGTGCAAAACCGAGAACCACTCCTGCGAGGACGCCACCGACCGTCATCATCATCAGCAGATTCTCCGACACGCAGCTCTTCCATCTTTTTTGTTTTGACATTTGAGATCCTTTTTGCCTCTAAATGAACGTCTCTCTGAAAAAAAAGTCGCAATCATGCTTTGAAATATATCTTTTTTGTGATTGTGATTGCTCTCATTTATGTACTCGGTCGATCTCAAACACAATCGACTGGGAATATTTTTTAATAAAATTGATATTCGTATTTTTAAATGTGAGTTTAATTTTTTTAATATTTTAGCATCTTTTAAATAATCAAAATAGTTTTTTCCTGCAAATACTAGAAACTTAAAAATATTTTTAATTGTTCTAGCAGTTTTCGTACTATTTTTTCATTATTTTTGGTACATTAGCATTTACAAAAATTTTGACTAATACTATTTCTACTACTACTACTTAATTAATCGGTTGAATGGTACAAGCAATAACAAATTCTAGATTTGTTTAGGCTCAAGAAATCAAACAGTTGAAACGTGTGTATTTTTAGTCAGCTTTATAGTATTATAGTACACATACAAGATTCTCGATCTGTTCAAGGATGTTTTTCCAAAAGAAATTTCTTAATCAAATTTTTTTTGTGTAATTCTGCTTTCAACTTTACCTTGCGGTTATTATTTAAATTTTGATATCACACAATAACCAAATATGTCCATAGCTGTGTTAAGGAAGTTGGTTTACAGAGCTAATTGCATAAATTAATAGTTAAGATGTATTTATTTTCCTCAAAGTTTTATTTTACATACGTAATTTAAAAAAAATGATTGTTCCGTGAAGAAATCGTTTAAATATTTGAAAATTAACGAAATGAAAATAATTCAAACCTTTCACAAAGAATTATGTTTTGCATACCATATATTTAATTTCATCAAAATCGGATGAAAACTATCTCGGCATTCGAATAAGTAATGAGCTTGTCTAGTTTGAACGTGAAATAATTCTGGTAATGTCATCATATTGAAGAAATAACAAACCTTGAGTAAAATAGATAAACATCAGTATCACTCAACACTAGTCTAGGGGAAAAATGTCGTCTTTATTAATACCAAGACATAAACATTTTGATGGATAGATGTGTGTGTAAATATGAAATGAATCATCCTGCCGCTTCTCGAGTGCAATGATTCTTACCAATCAAGGCAGAACCGACGATGGCTCCGTTATTTTTTCATTCAGTATCAAACTTCTTTCGTAATAAACACTTCGATGGTACCAAACCTTCAATTCGTTAAATCCGTTTATTCGATAAAAAAAGCAAAAATGAAGAAAAAGTATTCAACTCGATTTCTGTACATACAATCAATAAAACGAAAGATAAACATTTTCGTGTCATACGCCGGCCTTCTTCATAACTCAGTCTAAAACAAGTTTGGTAATAGATAATCCATACTTTATAGGATACATCACGTGCATACATAATTAATCAATTTAAAAAATCCGCTGATTGGATTTTTCATTGCGAAACACAGTATATTACAACCTTCGACGCTTGTTTGATAGTGCAGTTCGGCTACAAAAATAAGCGGTACGAGAGATAAGGTTCGTGTGTGTATACTCGATGAATGAGAAAACAAGAAAAAAGAAAAAAGAAAAAAAAAAAAAAAACGAAACCACGATGGGATGGTCGGACACATAGTAGCCGCAAACAAGGAGGTGACCCAAATATCACTCGAGAAGGAAGCAGAGCTCCGTTTTTTTTTAATCATTGTCACTATTAATATTATAATTTTTTTCCTTCATTCACATGCGGGTGCGCCATGGATTCATTAATGACACGCCTCTTTGTCTTTGAGTGTACATATGTGTGCAATCATAAAACCTGTATATGCTAACCAACATCGTGACAAATGCAACATACGAGCGTTATGTGTCATAACATCTGGTTGAAACTGGCTTTTTTTCCACCAACGAATAAGAAGAGGAGGATATATTCGCAATTCGCGTTCGAATTAGGAATCCGAGCCACGTGTGTTCGCACGTGTGTTTGACAAGATGTACGCGCACCATGTGCATATATAGGTGTTGGTACGAGTGGGTGGTGCGTACGACACTGGGGCGCTTTGTTCCCTTGATTAAAGTGAGAGACGCATTTTTTACAGTTCCCATGATACACGAGCTGTTTTTTTGTATCGCATTATTCGCGGGCTCACGTGGGAAACTTTGGCTCGTCGGCTATTTATTCGTGACCTTTCGACGCCTCCGTTTTCGTAATCGAAATTTATCAAATCTCTCGCTCGCGCACACAGCGCGCACACTAAAAAAAAAAAAAAAAAAAAAAAAAAGTTCCACGCCGAAACGATGGGTGCTTTATTTGCCACCCAATAAACATCTCCTGGAATAGATAAACCACCTAAGCGCGTAAAAAGTTTTCATTTCTCGGATTGGATCTTAGAAACGGCGTGATATATAAGTGTAGTGTATTATCGATTCGACCTACTTTTGCCCGTAAAATATTTAACTGGCAAAAGAAAATTCTTGTTTAATAAACGTTGAACTGCACGAGTTGCACGAGATAAGGCGATAATAGTGCATATTGTGACGATTTACTAGGCGAGTAAACAAAAAATGGTCAAGTTCATTATGAGAGACGGCAAGTAGAATCAAATTGAAACTACTCGTAGCCGTGTAACCAGGAAGTAAACATTGACTGTTTGTAAAAAAAAAAGGAAAAAAAAACGCCATTACTCTCAGTGGCAAATTAATTTTTGTACTACAATTATGCGAAAACAAAAAACTTCGTGCCGGTTATTGTGAATCGCGCGTGTACCGGTGCCAACTGGCTTGGGTGTTCATCAATATTAATTACTGCCAGCCATTGAGTCACTACTTATAAACGGCAATGCCCACACCCGATGCAAAACACCGATTAATATACGTGTTTCTATTTTTTCTCTCGCCATATCCACTTAAACGCTGGACTTCGAGTCTGTCTGCCGATCAGCAAGCGTATAGTGCAAAAGAGCTCTTTGTTACCCGCTAATTCGACTCGTCGAAATTTATGAGTTACTAATTATATACTGATGCGGTTACGAGACAAGATTTTATTTTTATGAATCCTCTTGTGATTATTTATTCGATTGGAATATTTTCGTGAATAGGCATTAGATTATTATTTTTTTTCGCGACAAAACGCCGAAGGTCTGATTTGATTGTTTTTTAGATTCAGACGGAATTCCGGATGAAATCATGATCGTATATTTATCAATTAGTTATAGAGCACAAGTCATTGTTGGTATGTATCATTGTAGGTATCAATTTTTGTAGTGTCTCTATTTTCACCGCTATTGTGAAGAAAAGTTTTATTGAATTTTCTTTGAGAATTAAAATTTGATGACTGCATAATATAATTTTTTACATTCTTTTTCTGACAAAAATTGATTGATATGGGCAATAATAAAAAAAAAAGAATTAATTTATGAAAAAAAAAAAAATTTATTTAAAGCCCATACAACTTACGATTAACTACTTTTTTTTTTTTTTAATAAAAAAAAAATTTTAATGAATTACTATTTTACTCATTTCACGATACAATAACAAAATAAGAGACAGCGAGTACATTAAATTGAAACTATTACTTGTCTCATTCTAAGTACAAAAAATATAATTTAAAACATTTTTAATACAAATAAAATAGAATGAGAGTCTCAAGTTTATCTTACAGGGCTTAATGTAAACAAACTTTTGTAAAAATCAACAAAATCTACGAAAAGTGCAATTTTCAATGTGCAATTAATTAAAAATTTACACTAAGTATAGCCTACGATAACGATAAATAAAAACACATTTAAATCAGTAATTAATATTTCGTAGAGCATCGCATGTCTCGATCGCTTTTGTCTATTTTGACACGATGCATCATTAATACTATGTTTTGTAACAACATATTTTCGTTTATTCGTAATAGGTACGCGTACAACATAAAATAATCCAGCATGTAAATGCAAAATTAGTTTTAACGTGCATAAACATACATTCATCGCACGTATTCGCAATATCATATAGAATGGGTGAGATCGACAAGTTTGATATCTGTATAAAAATGATTATGCAATTAATTAATTGATGCCACGCTTGTTTTGTTTTTATTAACTTATTTATAGTTGATGTGTTAACCCTTGCAAGCACAGAAAAGGCTCGACAAAAACAAATATGTATAAAGGTTCACGCGTTACGTAACGCAAAGTTGAGTTTAATTTAAAACATAATTACTTAATAGTGCGTGAGAATCCTAGTAATTTTCTTGACAATTGAGAGTAACTGCGGAAGCCCACATGTGCGGCATGGCTGATTTTTTTTTTTAAACATAGTCCTACCAAGAGTCACTTTAATTATCAGCTTGGAATAATATTTTAACGATTTTTTTATGATTTTTAAGACGACTGAAAAACACAGGCTTAAATTAAATTTTTTTTTTTTTTTTTGTAGATTTAACTTTATTCCTGTTTGGAAAAGAATCTAGTATTAGCAATAGTAAAACATAAATTATTACATCAGCAAAGCGGTCCGTACTTCTGTAGTGATTTCTTTTTTTTTTTTTTTTACTCTTTTTTTTATGATTTGTCGAGCAAATGCAAGCAAGTGTAAACCTTCATTTCACAAGCTTTTGCGTGCCTCTGACAATTGAACGCAATGATTGAAAGACGCACTACGCGCAATGCCTTAAATTATGAGCTCAATTTGGATGCGTAAAAATAGCGTTTATACGTTTGTTAATTTTTTTTTTTTTTTTTTTTTTCACTTATTCCTATCTCACTGAGTTTTAAAAAAGATTTTTAAGAGGAATGAATATTCTTGGCATCAACTTCATACAACTCACACAATTTTAAAACCGTACAAAATAATCAGTTAGTACCATCTCGCTTTGTAAATTTTCTTGCATACTTCATTTATTAAATCTGTGATTTTTTTTTAACGTAAACTATATTTTAAAGTTTTTTCTAATATTTGTAAAACATTTTATTCACCCTCATTATGGTGCATTTAAAAATGGAGTTAGACAACCTCAAGACTCTTACTTGACTGTAAAAATTTGCATGAGTGATAAAGCAGAGGTTAAAGTGTTCAACAGATTGGACTTATCCTTCTCTCACAAGTTCTCGTAAGTATCAGTCTTTACTTCAGTCTTTTAGACATCACCTAAACTCATCCTTAAAAATAAGCAACTTGTGTATTTAAACTAATTGTCTCATAAATTTTATTTTTTATTCTCATTTTTTTTAATTTCTTTGACAGTAGGAGTTAATTATGAATTAAAACAAGTTAATATTTTAATAGTAATTTTTTTTATACTTGTATGTTTTACAGATGATTCAGAAACTCTTGGGACGATTAGAACTTTAAATATTTAATCATAATTTATTACTTTGATTGTAAGTGTGCGCAACATGACACTTGTGATATTTTTATTGGACTTATTTATTTCGAACAATGTGGAAGAAACCTATTTTTTTCGAATAAAATCGTTAAAAATTACAAACTTTATAATGTATTTATTTAACCATTTTGAAAAATATTTTCACCTAAAGTACTAAAGTAAAATTACATTTAAAAATAACTTGGCAAAAAATATTTCTCAAACTTTTATGAGTTGCTATTTTATATACGTAAAGCTTTACAAAGTACTATGTATTCGCAAACCACTAATATAGCTCATTTAAATTTGTAATATTTATTTGCACAAATGAAGAAAAAAAATTAAAATTCAATTGATTTTTTCAAACGGCTGTATTTCACGCTGTAATATTTAACTAAATTTCTAAGGTAATCTAAGTTGACTCGAGAATATCGCTAAAACCTCCTCATAAACGAGAATAATACATTTGCGACTGATAACGCGTGTATGTAGGTTAGGTATAACTTATAGGTAAGCTTGTAAGTAAAAACAAACGTATTATTATTTGTCAACGTACACACGTGTCGAGAAAAGTTTTTGAAACACAGTGGATATTATTTAAGATGTAAATCCAAATAAATTACATTTTTATCGTGACTTATTTATCGTTCGGTCGGAGAGTTTTAATTGAATATGGAAAACGATAATTTTGAGGTGTACAGTACTTTTTGCATGTTACTTGCGCTTGAATAAATGTTTGAAAAGAGCGTAAGTACCTGACGTGCCTTGGTACTTTTTATAGAAATTATTTAACCTTCAAGATTTCGACACGACGTATCTAGTACTTTACGTTTGGTGGGTAGATGCTGTTAACGTGAAATAAAAAAATATTATATCATTTATCAAATTAACTTGGGATACAGATTTGATGAATGAAAGCAATATTCGTGCGTTTGTATAATTTATGTACATGTCCGAAAGTATCAAGTGTCAGTCGATGTAAAACACACGTTGATCCACTTATTTAGTTGTGCAAGAAGAAGCTTCCACAGCCGAAATTAATTTGCATAATGTATCAGGGCATTTCGTAAGTAACCGATGGTTGTTCATTGAATAATACCATGTCGGCTCTTCGTGTCGGACGCTGGTTCAATGAGTATATGGATCCCCGACGTATATATTTGTCACGCCGTAAAAAAAAAAAAAGTGTGGTAACTTCTGCTACTTCTACACCGAAATCTTTATATAATCGAGGGGAGGAGAAAAAAATAGCCTTTGAAGTAAATGGATTCGACGAATGGACGAAAATCCACAGTCGCTTGGCATATATATATATATACACACGCCATTGAGTTTCGTTACGAAATCTTTGATAAAGTTATTGAGACATTCTGAAATCCCTGATCGCTGTATACACGAGCGCGAGAACAAGTTGCGTTTAAACTTTTTACACGTGTCCCTCGTAAAATGGAAAAAAAACTACGTATTAATTAATAAAATTGCCTTAAAAAAAATGAAAAGGAAAAAAAAAAGTTATAAACATAAATAAATTACTTGTACAGCATTTCCAACAGCAATTATCAGAAATGCATAATTAATACCGCGACGAATTGCGAAAAAAAAGCCGCACACGACTCCATCCTTCTAAAACTCTCAAAGATTGTTTACAATCGTATACGACGCGCTCCGAGTGGGAAAATTTTCTCTCGACCGCGCCAGCTTGTGAAAAAAAAAAAAAAAAAAAAAAAAAACATGTCAACGATCTCTACTTTATGGTTTGTAATTGGCACCGCGACGTTTTTCACGATCTCTCGGTGCACTTTTCATTCACGCTGTGATTAATGTATTTATGCAGGGAGATAGTATTATACCGTCAATTGTTATTTGACACATGTATATTATATTGGTGTACGAAGAGTCGGAAATAAATAAAAAACAAAAACATCTTACGTTGGAAAACTTTACTTAAAAACCATGTACGAAAGCGACATTTATCTTATGGAAAATCATTTTGAAAAAATAATCCACGCATCTGTCGTTTTGAAAAAAGGCCAAAACGGAATTTCGAAAACAACGATGGCAGTAATTTTCGTACCTGGTGGCGCATATCGCCAGGGAAAGCACCAGGGACCTGCGAAACAAGGCCCGAGGGACTTCTCGTGCTCGTTCTGGTACGATGCACACCAGCTGCTAACTCTATATTTCTGAGGACGCAGGGAACGTCCAAAAAAAAACACCCAAAGTAAAAAAAAAACGTATGAACGACTCATCTAGTAAAAAATTATAATCTCTGCTGCAAGTTAAATTACAAAAAGCGAAAAAGTATGAAATCACGTACCCGAAGTACCTCGATAACGGTGCGACAAATTCACAAGCCCGATAACGGGTTGTGCGAGTCGCGTTGCGCACATGGGGACGCTTTATCTCAATCCAAATAAAAATTAAAAATAAGAAGAAAAAAAAAGACAAAACTACACACCCAAACGAGAGATAAAGAGAGAGGTGCACGGACACGAGTGAAAGTTTTGCATGCGCGCCGAAACAAGGCCGACTGCATATAGGTCCACAAGGTGCCGGTCAAGCGTTCAATAGCACGTGCGCGCATCGTTATATTATTATATTGGCCAATTTCAAAAGCAATACCTTACATCTCTCGATAGTTTAACGCATCCACCGCCTTCTCGGATTACAGGTGTGTACGATCCAACAATGGGTTTTTTTTCCCCCCACGCCCACGCACAAATCGCATACGATATGGTTTTACGCTCACGAGTACCAAATGGTACAACCATGGTATAATACACTTGTTCATCGGCTGTATCATACCACGATTACCGTGAAATTGTATACGAGTCAACCGGTTCACGTAATACAAATAAATACCATCTCGATTTTTCCCCCTTGCCACCCTTTCCCTTTACGTGGGACGACTTAATTATGTAACTCCCTGTTGTATTTGCACCTGAAACAACAACGACCACAACACTCAACCAATTGTGAATTCGTTGCACGGTTTATTATTGCCAATAACGTGCAGTGCCTACGTGTACAGTGCAGCTGCTGGTATACCGATTTTTTCCTCCTACACATTGTACCACACATACACTCACCTTCTGCGAACTTGGCAGCGACTCGTTGTTCAACTGGACTGCTTTAACATCAACTCAGTACGTAGTACTGTAAAAATAAACAACTAAAAACAAAACAAAACAAAACAAAACAAAGAAGCGATCGGTAAGCGTATCGCGCGCGCGCCCACGGAAACTCGCAGGATTATCGGCCCAAAGAGTTCGGAGCTCGATTCGCGAGGCTCGAGCGTTAGCTCCGGACTGACTGGCAATGCCGTCGGCTTACAGCATACTCACTTGGCGCGCCGAGAGGAATCATTGCATTTGGATGTACGGGAAAATCGAGTCGTGTACTCGAGTCGCGTGTACATAGACATATCACGCACACTCGCGCATATAAATACAAATACTTAGGTGTGTACAATAACGTTACATACGTGTATATATATATGTACACGAGCTGATTGTCGGATCGGTAGCCTCCTCCTCCTCCTCTCTATTTATTGTGTGTGTGTGTGTGTGTGTGTATTATGTGGTCCGAGAACAGCGCGAAAGGCGTCGAGGCCGACGCGACGTAGGGCATTCCCCGAGAGCCTCCTCTTTTTCGCCTCTTTGACGTCCGTCCTTTCTCCTCTTCTCTTCCTCTTCTGATGCTCATCCGTGTACAGTATCTTGGAACACATAGTCCATAAAGCATATGAGTATATACGCGAGACCTTTTTTTTCATTTCATTTCGCCCGCCGAGCGAATACTAGCTCGTTATGAGCCGAAAGTCGAAATTGCGAGCTGAGATTCGTGGAATTCGGATCGGCGAGGGTCGAATATCTCGGGGGGGCCTTGGTGGGTTGCCGATGTCTCGGACGCCGCGTTGTCATTTGCATGAAGATGACAATCCAGCCGAGGAACAAAAGCGCAGTTGATGCTTGACCCACTTGCCGCGTATACCTTTTCAAGGGAAATTTGAACGAAACAATACGCACAACCGTCATTTGCACCTAAATTTGTCTCGTCGCTTCACCATAAGTTTGTGTACCAGAATGTTATTATTATCGTGCTGTGTATGTTTGTACATTATCACCGGTCCCTGATAATTATGCGTGACGTGTACTTTCATTGTTGTGAAAGTGAATGGTTGAATGGTTGAATTATAACAGGAAAAATAAAGCATACACACATATCGTGCACGATATCGATATGCTTCGTTGGTTGGTGTTCGACTAGGGATTACGTTTATTTTCAATGTTTGAATAAATTTATTAACAATGGCAAATGATGTCGAATCGATCCAGTTTTAGGTTTCCCACGCATAGATACAGAGTTAAATTAATCGAATCGAATATTAATCGTATTTTATCCGTATTTTACACATACTTTTTGCGCTCTTATACCTACCTTTTTTTTAAAGTGCACATAATTTTTGACCGCACTTCAATGTAACAAAGAATTTTTGAACAAAAAGTTTTAGTGGGTTTGAAAATTTTTGTTAATGTTATGTTAAATATTATTTCTGTTTTTGCCATTATTATCTTCATTATTGTTTTTATATTACTATTATTTTTATTATTATTATTATTATTGTTACTATTTTTATTTCTACTGTCGTTATGTCCAATTTAAAAAGAGATTCTCTCAACGTAGCCAATACTTTTTTTCATGAGATTAATCAACATCTTCATTGATTGAATTTTGAATTTATAATTACAGACGATTTTGAAATAAAATTATACGAGGATTCATCGAGTAAAAAAGTCCATGTAATCAACACTCTGGTCTTTAAGATCCATTAGCAAAACACATTTTTGAACAATTTGAGGACATTCATTGAATGGCTGACGATCACGAGAATAAATATGATGGCCTTGATTAAATTTTGCTTACTAATTTATGAGTATTTCGTAACTTCCGCAAGTCCTTTCAATGATATCATGGTTAAAATTAAGAATTCACAGCAGGGAAAATTAGATGTATGAAAAATATGCACAACAGTTACTTAAATTATTAATTTTTAAATTCTGAACTTATTGAATAATACTTTTCTTTGGCATTTATTTACAGGTCGCTTAAGCCCAATTTTTTTTATTTTAAATTTTTAGTACAAATACTGTACATGAAACGAATTGTGACGACCCTTTGTCTAACTTAATATACAACGATGATAATTAGATACTTACAGATAGAATTTTATCATTCAATTTTCTTGAAAGAATTAAAAAAAAAATAAACTCATATAGAGCTTATCAATCACTAAAAAATCGTACGTGATGAAAAGTAAAAGGAAAATTGATTTTTATTCAACCCTTATGAGCTTCAATTGCACAGTTAATCGAATAAATGCACTTAACGCCGTTCTTACACCGATGCCATTCTCATACCATGGCTAATATACAATATCGTGTACATCGTTGACAAGATGATTGTCCCTATAAATTGTTATTGCTGTAAGCAATACCGAAGCAATACCGATCTCTTGATCAGCGAATATTAAAAAACGACTTGACAATTTTTACTTGTAATATATACTTTGATTGTAATTTTCAGATACACATTCATTGGATAAAAAATGTTTGACAAAAAGCGCAATAATTATTAAAATGGTTTTAACTTACTTTATACAACTGAGAAGTAGTTTCAGTAAAATCATTGGCATGAAAGGGAGGGTTTCACGAAATTTTTATCTGTACGTAGAAAATGTCCTTTGAACAAAGTGTTATTATTTAATTATAGCTGATGTAATTGTATTGGTAGAAATTCCACTTGTTGGAATGAAGATTTGACATATGTCTTGGCGTCAATTAACGGTACTCAAAGAAGCCAAACATACATGTCTTTTTGTTATTGGAAAAAATACATGAAAAACTCGAGAAACAATCGTAGATATTTTATATTCAAATTGTGGTACCGTAAATTGTTTTTAAATATATTCAATACTTTGATTTTATATAGATCATATTATAAACACGCTCGTTGGTCAAAAAATAAATTTTCATGTATAAGTTCGTCCTTCTTTGAAAAGAAAGAAGTAATGAAAAAATAAAAAAACAAACAAATAATAGGACAAAAAATCAATCAAGTCATAAAGATTACTGAATAGATATAAATGAGTGATGCTCAAGGTTTCAAAGAAGCTTATACTTCTATCCTTTTTCAGCCACACGTGTGAAAGCAAACCTATATCTACACAAAATAATGTGCCAAGTTGTAGAGTAAAGCGGAGCAGAAGGAAGAACAAGGAGTAGGCGCAACTCTAATATAAAAAAAGTTCAAAACTGTAATTTTTTTCTCATCAGCTTATAAATCATGAGATGATGAATGTTTTAATCCGCGCATACGTCATACCGTGGTCTTTCTTTATCTCGTACTTCGGTCCTTTTTAATCGTAGGACCAAAAATCACAAGCAATCAATTATCTACGAGATCGAGGATATATCTACGAAGATCAGCTATGTTTGCTAGATATATATATATATTTTTTTGTACTTTTGAACGAAGCAAAAAACATTTGGTGGATTTGCTCATAGAGTATATCTAAATGATGAGCGGCAGGTTCGTTTAAGTATTTTTTGGCTCCTCGACGATGAAAAGTTTCCAAGGACATGACCTCTTTATCTTGCGTATCTTGAGAATCTTGAGAACGCTACCGACCGTGTGTTTTTTGTCTGTTGTTACACGAAGGTGTGGCTTTAAAGTGAGTCGGTCGGTGGTGAATTAATATTTTTCGAATTAGCGCGTGCGATGTATACCTACATACCAAATAAAAGGAGACAAAAAACAGCTTTTTTTTTTTTTTTTTTTTTTTTACTAAAAACAATACAACCGTCGTATCATATTTGAATTACAATGCGCAAATAAGTGAGTGTGAATAATCGGTAAAGTTCCAATTCGATCTCATTATGAATTTGGTGTAATTGTTTGACTAATGATGATAAATAATGCAAACATTTGGAGACACTAGCCACTCGATCGCAACTTGAATTAACAATACCATGCACATATAAATTGGATGAATTTCGATGCTATTTCTCTTTTTATGTGCAAGACAATTAGGATCAGAGTTTGAATACATACAAAAATGTAGTTTTCTTATTAAGTTAGGTGCCGTTTTTTTTGGGCAAGACCTTCAATTCAGTCATTTTAGATTATACAACCGAAGTGTATATGTTCATCGATGAACGTAACTAAAAATAATGTTTGGCAATACAATGAGACGTACAAAATATCATAAAAACAGATTTTATGTTTGTTCTATGAAAATTGTTTATACAAATTTTTTTTTAATGCAATAGAATGGTGGTTAAAACGATTGTACTAAATACTATGACCTATGATCTAAAAACTGGGATCTATGTTTTTTCCATAATCCATTCCATGAAGAAAATGGCGACAGTTATGTGTTCATTTCTTTCAGTGGTCTAAAATACGTCTACAACAACATTTAATGGGTGACCGGTGGCTTTTTAGTCACCAAATATATCAAAAATTTCATCACTACATTTTAACTCTAAAAATGACAGCAAACTAGAGAGAAGTGTAATTATTATACTAAAAAAACTCGTATACTATGATTAAAATTTTTGAAACGCAATTTAAATAAAAAATAATTAATTATTACTATTGCTTTTTTTTTTTTTTCTTCATTGTATGCACATAAACTATATAATTAAATCTACGTACAAGTAAAATTACAATGAATCACACATATATACGCATCCTTAAAAAATATCAATGAAGAATACAATTTCAAAAAAAATTAAAAAATTAATTTCCATACACACCATTTAATTTCCCAAGATAATTTCACAGGCACGTATGTAAAACGATCTACGAAGCATTTTTCGCTGGAAGTGTCGACCCAACGAGGCTTGACTATGACATTGACAGCAAATTGCTGACAATCAAGTCCAACAACAGTCCTCATAAAGAATGCAGTACTTAATGAAATAATAAAAAATAAAATAAAATAAACAGTTGAATTCGACCGCGTGCGACAATAACAGTGAAATATTATGCCAGTGACAACGACGCGCTTAGAGGCAGAAACAATTTTTGCATAACACAATTTCACAATTTTAAAGGATATTGTCTTTATCCACGCGAGGGACACACATTACTCTCGGGCACGGCGTGAAAAGCGCGTCACGAACGGCTAAACACTGAAAACGTGCAGTTTCGCGGAAACTAATATTAATCGCCGTCGGGTCTCATCCTGTCGTCTTGCCAATTACAACTATATTGATGTGAGAGAGGCGCGTTCTCTATTTTTTTTTTTTTTTTTTTTTTTTTTACTAAAAACAACGTCTGGTTCTTGTAATACTTCAAAATTTGTCCATTAGTTTTAGTGCTTGCAGCGTCTGGTTTCCGACGGAAACTTTTATCGAGAGCACTTAAGGTTTACTCGGTGCATTGCATACTGGTGTGACTTCTTTGAAATAGTTTCTTTATGAAGGCAATGAGAAAACGCCAAATGCCTGTCCCCTTTTGGTGATGCTTGTGCGGATGAGTAAAACAAGTAGATATTACGACAAATTTAATAATTTTGCAAAATATTAACACGTTTTGTTCTCTAATAGAATATTTACTATGTCTCACTGCTGCCATAATCTTCATAAAGACTTAAAATAACTTTTTAAAGTATGACTATTTTTTGTTGATCTTATTACTTTCTTAAATCCTTCGTGTTTTTTTGTTAAATTTTTCTGTTTCTTTAAAATGTAAATAAAGATACTTATTTTAATAATTAGTTATATTTAGTGAATAAGAACTCTTTTACAGGTCAGCAAGCTTGACAAGTTTTAAAAGTTTATCTCACAACTTTGNATATAAAGTTAAAAATCATTTATAATTAATTATTGATTCAGGAAGAATTCTATTCGTCTAACATCCGATTACTACACGCTTCCTCGTGGTATATAGTATGATTGTAGCGTTGTTTAATTTTGTCTTTTAATTACTTGTGATTAAAACATCACTTCATCTATATTTATTAGTACGAGATCAGTTTTCACAAAACCCTGGCACAAAACTGAAATTATTCGTTTAGGTCATTTTCCGTACATTTTATTTTTACTCAACTCATAATGATATTTGTAACTTTTGATTCGTTGAGTTGGAATTATTTACGAGAAAAATCCACAGGATAATCCAAAAGTTAATAATCTTGTTCCTTTAAGAATAATTGGAAAAAATATGGATAAATTGGGATATAATCTCGCAAATGTCACTGCATTTAAAATAAATAGCAGATGACTGTTTTTTTTTTTTGTTGACAAGTGTTCTTTTCAATATATCTGTTAAAATCGCTAAGAAAACGAGCTGCTAAGATTCATACAGAACAAACTATTCCATTAATAAACCACCCCACATATTAAAATGTAGCATTTTTCATGATATTTTTTTTTTTTTTTTTATATTAAACAAATTGTAACTGCTCGCGATCCTATTTGTCTGTATTTGTTATCATGAACTTTTTAATATATTTACATTACGATGGTTAACACAACTTTTCATACTTTTCTACTCTAACCCTAAAATCTAAAATCTAGTTTATTCTAATATATCCAGAATTGGAAAATACTCTATTTTAATAGTAAAAAAAAAAAAAATAAAGTAAACAGTAATAATTTTTCTTCTCTTCTATTTCTGTGTTTTGAATCTTCGCGCGAATACTACATCCTGGTTCAACCAATGAGAGCTCAGTTTTAACTCTCTCTACAATTGTTATCTGCACCTGCTGAGTTTTGCGACATCGGTGTGACATTACTTTTACTCCTCTTTTTAACAATAAAAATTAATTACGAAGGTTCTGACCTGTGACATCACGTAACTTCTCAGTTGAAATATTTTTTATATAGAATGGACCTCATTTTAAACACACGCCACCCTCATGATACACTTGTACCCTCGTACGTCTCCGATCAATATCGGATGATTTCGCTTACGTGACGACGTCATACGTTACACAAACACAGGTTTTATACACTTGTACACACTACACGTATTTTGTCAGCACTCAGCAACGAGCAAGCAATCGTATACCAACTTATAGTATAATTTAAGCATCGTTTCTCCATCTTTTGGCGCTTAAACTCCTGTACTTTTCATCGCTAAGCCGTACCTTGCTGCTGTCCTCACAAATAGTTGTGGTAAGCTTTTACTTTTGCATTATTGTTTTAACACGAGTTTTTGTCTCAATTAGCAATTTCACAAAATTTTGTCATCGTTGGACAAGTATCCGCACTTGGGTTCTTTTAGCCGGCACGTGGCTTGATAACCTATACAACATTTCATGTATTCATTCAAACGCTTGATTTGTGTCATTTTATCTTTAAATCATCGGTAATCATGACATCAAAGTTGAAGAATCCTCGATCTTGTTCCGTTATTTTACTTACATTCAAAAATTTTTTTTGGAGTCCGCAGTTATACCTACTCGAGTTTAGCACGTGTGTATCTTTAGTGCGATCATTACACGTTAATTGATCAATAGTTAATTTTCCCTTTTTGCGACTGCTCCATTTCATCTAAATCTATCGTTTTCTGTATCATTTTATAGAAACATTTTCTATACGTTACCTTAAATTGTTTGTACACACGTACCTCAGGTAATAAAAGCTCAAATAAAGCCTAAACTTTTATCTTGAAAATGAACACGAGAAGTGAAAACGTCTAATTTCCTAGTAAAGGCATATGTTAACTTTGACAGAATTAACTTGATGATTTATAATAATGAAAGTTAACATGAAGTTTTAATGATTTCTTGGAAAAATCATAACTGTTATAGTTAGAGTGTTGTTAACTTATATTAAGTTAGAAACATGATTTTTCCAGAGCATAGTATGACCAAAGCCCCAATTGTGAAAAAGAAGCAAAAGTCTAAACAACAGCAAAACATGGGTGTTAAGGATCGTCTTGTTGCCAAAAAAAATCAAGAGAAAAAACTTGTTCAAAAAACTGTGGGCAAACAAAAATTCGCCAACAAAGTGACAAAGCCTCAGCCAGCCAACCAGAAAGCTAAGAATGTTAAGAAGATGACCAAGAAACAACAGTTACCTGCTAAAAAACCTTTACAAAAGAAGAACGAAGAACTGGATAGTGACGAAGAAGACGACTCCGCAGAGGAAGATGAAGAGCTTACCAAGAACACCAAGCAGAAGAAGGGTGTCAAAATGTTTAAGGGTGTGAAAGCTGGTGATGAAGAAGATGACGACGAAGACGATGAGGATGTAAGTCTCGAGGACAGCGATGATGATGAGGATATTGATGACTCAGACGATGATGAAGACGACGACGAAGATGATGATGATGATGATGATGATGATGATGATGAGGAAGAAAGTAAGTTGGACGCTAGTAGCCCTGGTTTGAAAGATTTGCTTGGAGACAGTTTGAAAGATGAAAGCAATGATGAGGACTTTGAAGAGGGTGACGGTAGTGATGACGACGACGACGAAGATGAGGATGTGTCTGATGAAGAATCAATGCAGAATGTAGAAGGTGAGGATGATAGCGATGATGATGATGACGATGAGGATGAGGATGATGATGAGGATGATGATGAGGATGAGGATGAAGATGAGAACGAGGCCAATGAATCTAAAGGTTCTGATCTCAAGACTTTGTTGGGTACGAGTTTGGATGACGATGACGATGATGATGAAGAATTCCAGAATGATGAGGATGAGGATGAAAGCGAAGATGACGAAGATGGTGAGGATGACGAGGATAACGAGGATGCGAGCCTCGAAGCATCTACTCCACCTAAGAAGTCAAAGAGAGAACCTAAGCCCACTAAAAAGTCCGAAAAACCGCTAGATAGCCCCAGAAAAAAATTGTCACCTGAAGAAAAAGCTGAATTGGACAAAAGAACCGTCTTTGTAGGAAACGTGCCCAAGGACGTCCAACAAAAAACAATAGAAAAACTGTTCAAGAAGTTTGGTGCAATCGAAAATATGCGCATCAGAGGTGCTGTTCCGGAAGATCCTAAAATGTCCTTCAAGGCTGCGACCATTACAAAGAAAATACACCCAAAAGTACAGTCAGTTTATGCTTACATTGTATTTAAAGATGCAGAATCTGCAGAGAAAGCTGTAGCGGTGAATGGTCACGTACTGGATGGACATACACTTAGAGTTGACGTTGTAGCCAACAAGGACAAAGCGCATGACGAGAAGAAAGCAGTATTTATAGGAAATCTTCCTTTTGGTATGTATTTAACTCGTTTCAAATAACTTACAGTGCAAATTTGAATAAAAAATGTTGCTTATTGGAAAAAATATTTTCTGTACTGTAGATAACTCAATGATATTAAATATTGTTTTCAGAAATAACGGAAGATCAAGTTCGAGCTCATTTCACGTCATGCGGTAACATGAAATCTGTTCACATAATGAAACATCGCGATACTGGACTGAGCAGAGGTGTTGGATATATTAACTTTATAGAGGAAGATTCTGTTGCTTTGGCATTAGAGTTAAACGGCACAAAATTAGGCAGTCGTGAAATCAGAGTAGCGATCTACCATACACCCAAACCTAAAGAGCGAAATCAGAAGAGGAAGAGGATTTCTGGTAACAAAGAACAGGGAAACAAGAAGTTCAAAACTTCTGAAGGACAGGCTGCCAAATCTGAAGTAAGCCATTATAAGTATTATTAATAGTTTGCTTAACCAGTTAATTAGAAACCTGTTTTGTTTAAATTTTCAAGCATTTCGTTGGCAAAATTAAATTTTTACTTGGTTTCTCACGTAACAAAAAATTGTTTCTACTTTTAGCCCCTGTTGATATTTTTTACGCATTTGACAAAACTTGGCGTATTTTTATAATTTTACAAATTGAAGAATAAATTTACCTTGAAAGTTTACTAATAGGTAGATTCTTATTTATGTTTCGTTTTTTTGTGATTAAGGGTGGCAACAAGCAAGGAAAAATGAAACAAAAGCGGTCCCAAGGAGGAGCCAAAAGAAATGAGGCAAACAAAAGCATCAGCCAGAGTCCATCACCAAAAAAAGAAAAAGTAAAAAAAACATTCCAAGGTCAAAAAGCTGAAGTTAAGAAGAATTCGAAAGGTGCTAACAAAGGTGACAAGAAGAAAAAGATGATGGCTAAAAAGCTTGCAGCGGAAAAATAGACGGACTAACAAATTTTTAGAAACTTAACAATTATGATTCTATACTTCGCTCATGTCTTGTTTCAAATTTGTTTTATGATGTATTGTTTTGCAATGAATGAATGTGTAGTTATACCTTAGAGAAATCGACGCAGTACGCCACATAATTTCAATTGGCGAGAAATATTATTTTAAGAACTTATTCTGAATAAGCTATATTTTACTAGTGTACGAAATGAATACATGCGTTTTATAACGAATTATACACAATTATTTCTTAGTTGAATTATTCTTTATTGATTCTTTCCTCCACTTGTTTTATTAACAGTATTTTTCCTGTATTTCTTTTGGAAAATATTTCATATTATTTAATGTACAATTTTTACAAAACCGTTTAGAATAAAATAAGCTGCAATCTGTGCAGACTGAATTATGACACATACTGCAGTCACCACCCAGTACTAAAACTTTGTTTTTATTTGGAGGACTGAAAGGATCCTTCATAATGTAACAATCTTCTGTATAAGTTAAATGCTTTGCAAATGGAGGTTTTGTTCCTTTGTAATCATAACGTTCCTCCAGGTTACAAATATAACATTTCCATATACCACCAGAGTCTTGAACGCTCTTTGCAAGTGGTTCTCGACTTTTTGACTGTGATCTGATGTCTTTTGAACTGCCTGCAGAAACTGTTTCCATCCTACAAGAAATACGAAACATTTGTCTGTAATAGTTGGCCTTAATTTTGATAAGCCAAGAAAAAATAATATAATTATCTGCTTCACTTAGTGATGCACATCAAAGTTAATTTTAGAACATAAATTTAAACAAACGTTGAAATAGTTTTTAAGGAATAAATACATTATTTCGTAAAAATCTGCTTACTACTGTCAATGTGATTTAAAGGTTTTACACAGAAGTACATGATAGTTTTAAAAATAATTTATTCACAAGTAAACAATAGAAAACTTAACAAAAAGACAAAACATTAACTATTACTAGTCTTTAGCGAAGCCTCTACTTTGTTAGACTCTTGAGGCCACCACTGAGGTTTTACAACTTTCAAAATGCATTCCTTAACAGTCAACGTCTTTGCAGCTAAAGCCTCTGCAATTCTTATCAATCCTAAGCCATAAATTCCTTCATGTCCTCTAATCTTGCCCACTATTTTGCCACTTTCATTTACTATTTTTTCATCAAATTCAATTGACACATCACTGCTAGGGCAACTCAATGTCAGAGGCATGAGACGTTTCCTAACTACTCCAGTGTGGTGTGTTCGAGCTGTTAATTCCTGTCCAATGTAGCATCCTTTGTGGAAACTAACACCATGCAGGTAATCACAATTGATTTCCAAGGGAAAGGATGAACCAGGCGGCAAATCTTGAACGCCCTCACCTATGCCTTGGTTGTAACGAAAGGCCCTGTAACTCGATGCACATTTTCGTTTAGTCAAACTTGGCTCCAAATGTTTAATAATTTCGGTGTCCGTTACACTGGATTCTGTCAAAACTCTCAATCCTAAATCCAATATTCTGGGATCAGAATAAATCGAGATTTTATCGATCAGCTTACTGGAATTGTTGTCCCCACTTCCACATGGAAATATCCTACCTTCCAGTTTTGAGTCATTTTTGTTGTCATCATTTTGAGGTACAATGTTGTCATCGAAGACACTCCAGATCTTCATACTACTGTTCATAGGCTGTATATCGACTGTTCTGCGCAACCTATAAATCTTTAAATGTTTCAACAAACCGTCAACCACAGCTAAATCACATTCCACAAAGTAAGTGTCGGCTTCAAGTGCTTTATAAATAATCGTGTCGTAGAGGACTCTGCCCTTGGTATTGAGGAAGACCGAATAAATACTGGCTGCTCCTTCTTTGAGGTGTCTCATGTCGTTTGTAATGAGGCCTTGCAAAAAGTCGGGTACTTCCTGGCCGGTGAGACGAAGTAAAGTCCTGTGCTCCAAACAGACGAGGCTCTTTGTAGATGCTTGCGTTAGGTTGCGCTTGACTGAAGTTATTGCGCTGTTCTTTGCACCACGTAATAAAGCAATTCTTGCAAGTTTCATCATTTTGTTGTAGTTTATGTTAGTTTACTTATCTAACTACAAAAACAATTTCGACATTGTAGTTTTGTGTGATATTGATTATTGTTTGAAGTAAGCAAATTTTTACACTTTTTCAAAGTAAACATAATATTATTTGTTTGAACATGGTAAAGCCAGTCTAACCTAAATTGCGTTTGATTTTGATTTATAGTGATTTACAGAAGGTTTCAAACGTTCTTTACCACAATATACATTATTAACTGGTACGATGTATTATTGAAAACTGTTATAGAGTAAAATTAAGTGAGATCAAGCCAAGTGAAAATATATATTCAAAAAATATAACCAACAATTGCCGGTGTATACATGCATCATTGCGCAACTACAACGTACAATACGTAAGATCCGTCAACCAATCGGGGCGCTGATCTGATCTGATATGAATTTTTTTTTTTTGAAGCAAGAAAGGTTTGCGATACATCGATATTTTCAGTTTATCGTTCCACCCCCTATCGCATATTTTGTGCGCGCTAATTAAGATTAGATTCAAATTAATTTTGGTGCTTTGGCCTCATAAATACTACAGTTGTTGATTTTGGAACGTTTTGAGATGAAATGAACAATGGGGTTGATAAATAACTATAGATTTGTGAAAGATCTTCATGATTGAAGTAAAAAAAATAATTTGAAATTGATAAACATTAGCTTGTTTGAAAATTACAGGTATGCGTGAATAGGGACTTTAGTTCAAATGAACGTCAAACCGTTGTAATCAAAACTTTAAAAATTTTTTATTTCAACTTGTATTCTTTTTTTCTTATACAATATAATTTAACTGCTCAAGCCGATCTCTTAAAAAATATTATCTTTCAACATTATATTAAATACTTTTTACATTACGTTATCTTACAGTTATTTTACAGCTTTAAGGACTACATCTAATGTAACGGGAATGAGCTTGTTATTTTTCAATAAATATAGCTGTCCATCAGTTAAATCGTACTCTTCACTTGACTTAGAATTAGAAGTCTTGCCTGAAAGAATAAATTATAATTGATTAAAACACAAAGACAACATGAAACTTACAATTTATACATCATACACAGTTTATGGTCATATTTTTATATTTAAAAGTATCGGTTTTCGATACCGTAGGGAATAATTCAACAATCAGTATGATTGGAAACGATAGAAGGATGTAAAAAATTATAGTGTAATGAGTACTTAATAGAATAATATGTTGAAAATGTTACCTGATTGTTTTTTTAGTTTTACTGACAACGACTGACCAGGAGATGATTGTTTATCAGGAATAGACTCGGCATCTGTGTTGTCAATAAAATTTGCTTCAAAAGCATCTTCGTCGCTTTCCACGGAATTTTTCGTTTTCCGCGTTCGTTCTGGAAGTTTTCGCTTCTTCCATGGCTGATTTTGTTGGGGGAATTCTTTCTGTACTTTTGTTATAGATCTTTTAGGCCGAATAGGCTCAGCACTGGATTGTGGGATATTTTTCCTTTGTACAGAATTATTTCTTTTTTGAGACTTTTCTGAAGGATTTCTATTAGTTTCTGAGTTCTCATTCAAAGACATTTCTTTTTTTATGTTCACTATAAATTCTTTTGAAGCACTGCATGTTAATTCTTGTTCATTGTTTTGTACTTCACCCAGTACTTCACTTGTGGTTGAATCCAACTCCTCTGCCATGAAATGTGAATTGAAAGGATGGATTTCCGTATTAAACGGATAAATTCCTGATTTAGAAAATCCATTCACAGCATCTTCCAATGTGGCAGTTTTCGTAAAAGCATTTCCTAACAACTCTGCTATTCGATCGATCGTCACAGTCTTGGGGCTATTCAGTTGTAGCCACTGTCTCACTTCAGCGATGTAATTATTACTAAAAGATTTACTAAAAGACATATCAATGGGTTGTATTTCATGCTTTATAAATGCAGAGACACAAACTATAATAACACCATTTTCTTCAGCTAGATCTGTTACATCAAAGCATTTTATGTAACCGACATGTGCATTGAGTATAAGTAAAACAGGATTTTCTTTGGTTGAGCCAGAAAACTCGATGAATTTCATCAGCCAACGATAAAAAATTTCGCTCTGAATGCAACCATTAGGATGACATTCTGCCCATGTACCTTCAGGAGTGCCTTGCAAATATGTGTCATCAATCGTCATTCTAGGAAACACAATCATCATCGGCATGTACTCGCCGCTTGCTGAAAAGCATACCTTGATAGTTACAGTATCACCTGCCTCATCTGGAGGGATAACATCAGTAAGTCGTTTGTTTTTCGTAGCTGGGGTAATTTTTGGCATTTCATCCGGTACAATAATAATACTCATTTCATCTGCATTGTAGATTCTAGAGGCTGGAAACTCATATTGTTTCATCACAGAATTGAGAACAGAAAAAAATTCTAATACAGCTTCTTCGTTTAACTCCAAGGGATCTGATCCTGATATTCGTTCTGCTTTTTTGATGGATAGCTGTGGATGCCGTTTGATAAAATTGGTCATCCAATCTTGTCCAGCTAATCCTTCTTTCTTGTTAAATCGGTGATTAGGCTGGTATCTTTCTGCAAATTGAAACGCCAGTCTTCTAACGTCTGTGCGTGTGAACACAAATAGTTTGTCTTCCAGTGCTTTCAAGTATTTTGCAAGTAAATCTTCTTCTTCGTCTGAAAATGCTTTGCGAAAACCTGGAACTAGAAAAGTATAACTTTTAAGGATGATTTAGATGCATGTACATGTAGGAAAATGTGGGGCAGACAATGGACATCAATCATAGAAAAAGTTACAAAAAATAAACGTATTCAAAACAACTTTGACCAAGACAATGCCTCTTTCAAAGCACATATCACAATAATTAAAATAATTCTTAATTAGTATAATACACTGACAATAATTCCATTAGAAATAAATGGTGTCTATAATTTAAACTATGAAACGCCTACAACAATAGGATGGATTATTTAAAATTAGTTTCAGCATTTAAAAGCCAAATTTAGTCTTTCAATTCAACAATCTTTAAATTTGATGTACATCAAAAACAATTACTTGTGGAATGACAAATTTTACCCTTTTCCTCATAATCTGGTGAATTGATACATTGAATCTTTCTTTGCAAAGTACTCCTTGGTATGCCAAATTTTTTTGCAGTACTTGCAATGGCTTTTCCACTATTTACACTTTCAATAGCCAATTGCATCTGCTCCTCAGTCCATTTATTTTTGTTTCCTTTAGGTATGTAGGTACGAACCATTTTTATTAGTTATTTACACTGAAATATAGGAAAGACCCAAAAAAACTTAACCTTTGAGGTTTGCAACTGTTTAATGTTTTTGAAACCATAAACCTCTATAGATGTACGCCTTCGATACAAAAAACATATACTTATCACACACTTCATCGCTGTTCCAGCTGTTTCTACTTCTGCATTCTGACACCGCATGCCAGATGGGCATTAGCAGCGCCGCATGCCCACCGCAGCCCACAGTGGATTGCCCACATGCCAAACAAAATTTCGATAGTTCGATTATCATCGACAATCGTTTGGTTCACTCGATTACTTGTCGTAGTGTCCATCGGCCATCGGATAAACTACCACCTAATCTTAATCATTTTTATTTATGATAATATTAATAATTTTCATAAAGCATACACTGCTTTCATCTTTGTCTAGATAAAATAAATTACAAGTACATACACCATGATTAACGAAGGGAACAAAAGAAACGGAACGAATATGAAACTGCCCAGAACGAGTACAAATTAACGAACGAACGATGGTCATCGAACGCGCCCTACCTATTTTTATAACAAAATTTACAATCAAGTACTTCGATTATTAGATTTATAGATAAGAGCTTAGTATCAGACGTTTGTCGTTTTGGCACTTTGGTAACGTTTATTTGTGGAATACAGCATATACCATGTAGAAGTTGTTATATGTTTTTCTCTTTGCTCATTTCGTCATTGTTGCTAGACTTTAAAAACTATGAAGCCTTTCCATTTAACGTTAAAAAATAATATATTATTTATCCAAACGATGAATCTTCTTATTGTTTTAAAATTAACTTGCGTACTCGTTACGTATATTTTACATGTAATTAAGGTATTGTATGAGTACTGATGGCATTAAAATCTGAAGATACGGTACGAGTTCAGTTGTTGTCGGTGTGATAACTAACTTTTTTTTTTTTTTTCATTAACATCGTAAAAAAACGTTTAGAAAATTTATTGAAAATTAAAACCATCTACTACTACTAACTTACTAACTACTTTTTTGTTAAGTTTTTGATGATCATACTTTAATCCTCATCGAATAGTACTTATTACCACATAATAGTATATCTGGGACGTTTCTCATCAAGTTAGTTTTCGATGTATAAATATCTAAAAAAAAACTTATTTTTTTGTTAATGATTTTACCACAACCAAGCTGATTCGAACTCTTTCAAGACAAAACCGTATATTTTAATACCAATTTAAACCGATTCCACTTGAGAACCAAACAGAATTAAAATTTAAAATGCTACCTAAGGTCATACAAAGGAGAATAGTATTAAATTATGACAAAAAAAAAAAATATTTATGACTTGTTACACTTTTTACCACACTCGTGATTTTTCACTCGTTTTGCAAAGCTTCCTCTGGACGTCACCGGGGAATCACAGAAGAAAATTGCCATTCGTTTTCAATACGAAAGTAAATCCCCAAGCATTTTTCCCGTTCGGCTGACATTTATATGCGTGAAGAGCTGGTATTAAGAGTAGGTATATAAACAGCTTTTGTACCAACTAGAGATCAAACTCATTTTGGACTCGTTTTGATAGCTGAATCGCAATTTTACAAAAATAATGAAAGTTTCGTTGTTATTTCTTGTTTTTACTGTGTTGTTATGCGTAATTCACGCACTGCCGTTTGATGGTATGTTAAAAATACTAATTAACAACTATAGTTATATAATATCATAGTATATTGTATCAACAATTAAATTTGATATCCGGTATCTCACTAAAATAATTAAAAAATTTTCTTGCATGCACTCTTTTTTTTTTTTTTTTTTTTTTCTTTGTAATGTACGCTAATTTCATTGCATTTTTTGTATTTTTATATCTACATAGATTTTATTTTTAAGGAAATTTCTTACAACTACGAGATAACAACAATAAAACTGCATTTGTATATTATGCAGTCATAAGAATTGCATTGGATGTCTCGTGTAAAATCGTCTCACACTTTCATCAATATTTCAAGAAATTTTTTTAACTCAACTCTACATATTTATGTATTTTATAATAAATGGTGTAAGTCTGTGAATGCAAGATTAAGTAGTTAAGACTCACTTATCTACGAGAGTTTTTTTTTTTTCAATCACGCTAAAGGCCAAAGCTCAATCCACGCGTGAAATTAATATACCTATATTTACCTGTTTTCTCTAAGCATCAGCAATATCATGCATTTTTCCACATTGACTGAAAAATTTAATACAAAGATATCATGAAATATGATTTGTATGTTACTACATTTGGTATCTCGGTTATTTTTCAAATTAACTTTATCCTGGTTTGAGGAAAAAAATAAGAGAAAATAATTTTTTTTATAAAAAAAAAAAAAAAAACAGTAATTTGCATAACATTTTCACATAAACGCAGGATTCGAAGATGCGAATGAATTGGAGTTTTGGCAGGGAACAAACGATGGTGATGGAGTGCGACAGCGCCGAGTTACGTGTGACTTGATGAGTTACGGTGGAAAAGTTGGTCATGCTGCTTGTGCTGCCAATTGTTTGAGTATGGGCAAAGCTGGTGGAAGGTGTAATGACGGCACTTGCCAATGTCGCAAGTATGTCAAAAATGAAAAAAGTTTAATAAATTAATAAAATTATCTTTCATTTATTAATATTAAAAACTCATCATTTGCTAGATTTATTTTGATGTGATCAATCTTGATGCTTGTGCACTATTTTGATTCATGCAGAAGCTCGTTATAAGAATTTTTTTTTTTTTTTAACAATTTTTTCACGGACATTAAAAAATAGAGTAATTCAAAGGTAAACAGCAAAAAACATTTATTTGAGGAAAATGAGCATTTATTGAAATCATATTATTTATTAATTTTTATCAAATAAATCATTTCCTTATGACATAATATTTAACAGATTTAAATAAATATTTATTTTATTCAAACGAATAGTTTTTATTTGTATTAAAG